AACTAAAAGCCCATCATTAATGTTAGGTTCATTCTTTGTGCTACCCATGCTGTGGGCGTTAATAAATATATGATGACCCATGTTCACAATTACAATATCATACACATACACTGCCCTCAAAAATTCTCTGTTCATTGTTTAGCTCTCCCAAGTCAGTGGCAAACATGGATCTTTTTTCTGTCTCCTTAGTTTTGCCTTCTACAGAATGTCACATGGTTGAAATTATACAGCATGGAGACTGATCGGCTTCTTTCATAGTAATATGTGAAGGTTCTTTTATAGATTCGTGGCTTGATGCCTATTTTTTTAAATCACTAAATAATATTCCATTATCTTAGCTTACCACCATTTGTGTCTCTGTTCACCTATTGAAGGATCTCTTGGTTGCTTCCAAGTTTGGATAATTATGAATGAAGCTGCTATAAAAAACATTTGTGTGCAGGGGAGTGGGGGTGGGGGTGGGGAAGCAGCACTATGGTGTAGTAGGTAAAGCCACCATCTACAGTGTTGGCATCATCTGTGGGTTTAAAGGCTTGGCTGCTCCACTTCCAATCCAGCTCTCTGCTATAGCCTGGGAAAGTAGTAGAAAATGGCCCAAGTCCTTGGGCCCCTGCAACCTTGTGGGAGACCCAGAGGAAGCTCCAGGCTCCTGGCTCAGATCAGCCCAGCTCCAGCAGTTGCAACCATTTGGGGATTGAACCAGCAGATGGTAGACTCGCTCTCTCTCTCTCTCTCTCTCTCCCTGTCTCCCTATCTCCCTGTCTCCCTGTCTCTCGCCCTCCCTCCTCCCTCTCTCTCTCCCTCCCTCCCTCTCTCTCTCCCTCCCTCTCTCTCTCTCTCCCTGTCTCCCTCTCTCTCACTCTCCCTCTCCCTTCTCACTCTCCCTCGTTCCTTCTGTATATCGCATTCTCTATATCTCACTAAGTCTATATCTGTCTTTCACTGTAAATCTATCAAACTGACTCGGTCTCTCCCTTCCTCTCTCTCCCTCTCTGCCTTTCAAATAAATACATAAATGTTTTAAACAATTTATGGGCAAGCATTTGCATGTATATGAGTTTTCAACTCATTTAGGTAAATAATGAGGATCATGTTGTGAATTACATGGTAACAGTATGTTTTGTTCTGATTTGTATTTCTCTAATAACATGATAGGAAGCTTCTTTTCATATGCTTGTTCTCTTATATCACCTTTAGTAAGGCGTCAGTTCAGATATTTTGACCATTTTTTATTGAATTGTTTTCTTATTGCTGAATTTTAAGAATTGTTTGTATGTTGTGGATACCAGTCCTTTATCAGATGCGTATTTTGCAAATATTTTCTCCTAGTCTACAGTGTATCTTTGCATTCTCTTCATAAATCTCCTACCATACACCATCATTTGTCAACTGGAAATTTTTAAACTAAAGAAAAATAGTTAAAAATGAAACTTGTCTAAATTGCTTGGGGATGTGTCATTCTTAAGGGTATTTAAAGCCTGCTGGATTGTTGGGCTGTCGTATCCCCATCTAGTCTATCAGAAACAGACTCAGCTTTCCAGGGGGAAATTTCAGGTGAGGGCAGGCCACTGTTGGCTTATTATTTGAGAGAAGTAACATCAATGGTTCTGGATGGTATATGTGAACTGTGAATGCCTTTGAGTCAGAGATAACTTAATGACTCACAAGGAACTGCAACAAGAGTAAAAAGTCTTATTTGCCTAGGAGTAGGTAAAGTATCATTAGTTTAAAATACCTCTGTCAACCTTTTTTACAAGACTTGATCAATGTTTGACTCATAATGGCTATAAATAACCACATCCCAATGACAGCAAGGTACCTAGATTGATCATTTAATGAACACTATGTCTTTGGGAACCATAATATTTCATGTAGTTTTTCTTAAATTTCCAATCTGATTGTTGAGCTCTAATGATGTAGTAAAGGTTATTGCCTACTGTCACATGCAAATGTCAACAGATAAAAATGGTTGCCTTGAAAAATTTAATAATACACTAGAAAAAATCTTCTGAGAAGAATCAAGAATTTAATTTTCGAGTTTGGAGAGATTGTAGAGGAGATTCAGTCTCCTGGAAAATAGATTCCATGTCATGTCCTAACTTCATTCACTGGCAGAATCTCTGTCTTCATGATACAGAGGACAGTGCCAAAGCCCATCTGCGCTCCTTATAAAAAAGCACTTTAGTCCATTAGTAGTTTCTCATAAGCAGAGGAGGGCTCAGTTACAGCCTCAAGCCCATGTTCACTGTGCTCCTCTGTAGACTCTTAAGTCCCTGCTCAAGGATGAGAAAATGGCAGCCCAGATGACTTGAAAAGCCTTTCAAAAACTGGTAGCTGTGCTGATGTTTAGCAGGTGGCAGTTTCATTGTTTCCACTTCAGGTACCCGTCTACGGTAGATACTAGAAAATTGTTTTGTTGTTTAGGGCCAGAAAAACAGAAAATCTCCAATGTGAAGAATGGGGCCACTCTGTCGTTGTCTTAAAATCTTTGTGTTTAAAATATTCAGTAAGAAAGATATGGTGTGTTCAAGAGAGAGCTGTGAGTCCTTAACAGAAATCAAATTGTGAGAAATAGGAGCCAGTTAGTATAATAGGCTGGGCTGGAGCTAATCCATGCCACTTGTTAAGCGACAAGGTGGAGGAACACACCAGATGATTACCAACTGACATGAGGGACCGCACAGCCCGCAGCCTGTTCAGGAAGGATTCCTCTGTTGAAGGCTGGCTGTCCTCTGTTGGGTCGGAGGGTACAGGGGACATGGAAGCAAGTGACACCTTGTAGATAAGGGATTCTGTAATTGCTGTTTCTTTTGTTTTTCATTCGTTTGTTGAGAAAGTACCAGATCAAAAACCAAAGTATACCTGTGTGTGTGTTGAGTGTGTGTGTCTATAAATAATGTGGCCTAGTTCAAGCAATTGACTGGTAAGAAAACAACAGACATCTGTAGGAAAAGCAGGACATGTTAATACTGAAGCTGCTCATTAACACCACTTCAAAAAGTTCATGGAAAAATCATGTTTATTTTGCTGCAAAAAAAATCCTGAAAATCCATACATAATTTCTTCTTAATGTGAATTTTCATGAACTTTTTGAAGACCTCTTATACACAAGAACTTCAGAATTCTTCTGCACCAAAATAAACTCATCTTTTAGCTGCTTTTTATGAATTTTTGAAAGTTTTCTCGTATGTGTGTTACTACTGAGAGCACACATAATAATATGGTTATATTATTCTCCCATTTCTTATTCACTGGGCTGTGATAATAGTTAAGATTCAAATGCTAGATGCGTGCCATCAATGTACCAAATTTGAATACATTATTTTATTTTGTTGTTAACTATCCCAAAGAGGTAGCTGACATCAGACACATTTTACAGAGGGGAACAACAGAGGTTTGTGTAGCTGCAAGGGACATGGAAAATGATTCAAACCTAGATTCTGTCTGATTGTAAAACGACTGCCCAGAGCCATCAACACGGTGCTGCCACTCTCCTCTACCTTCTCTGAACCTCTGTTTTTATGTAAACTGGAGATAGAACTAATAGAAGTATGGGAAGAGTCTTTTTGTGTATATGTGTGAATTATTTAGAATTTGTCCAACATTATTCAGAAATAATATGCTGTTAAGTAGCAGATTTTAAACCAGCAAACAGCATTTTGTTGTTGTATCTTCTATTCATATCAAGTGTATCTTCTATTCATATCATTTTGCTAACAACTCATTTATTTTCATACTCTATGGAACTATTTTCTCAAATACATGCTTGATTATTTGGCTAACTACAATTGAGACTTTACTTTTCTAGCATAACTTTATCCTTTTTCCTAAATAGTCATGCTTGAGGGAACTGAGTAATTAATTTCCAATATAGTTACAGTTGCACAATACCCCACACTGCTTACTGGTCTTTTAGATGCTTATTATTTGGGCTTGGATGTACTCAATTTTCCTGTGTCTCATTGTTAACACATTAAATCTTAAAGACAAATATGCTTAATGTATTAGATATAAAATATCAGTACCACACAAACAAAAAAGTAATTTGGCTTAATGATTGCCATTTAATCCATCGCAGACTCTAAGGCTATGTTTGAAACCCTTTGAAGGAATAGATGAAAGTGTGATACAATATATCACAATAAATGAAGTTGATGGATTTTTTCTTCTTTTTCCCGATAGCCGCTTGATTATAAAAAATACAGCACATGCAAGGGATCCTCAAACAGATCATAGAAAATGCACATAATGAAAAAGTCCATGCATTTCCAAGTTTTTTGCACCAGAATAAACTTATCATTTAATTTCATTTCCACGAACTTTTGGAAATACCTTTTATGTTTTATATAGGATAACCAGAATCTTTAAACTTCATAAGTATTTAATGTTTAATAACAAGCATTTGCTCTAAAAGGAGTTAAGAGAAAGTTGAACACTGTAATACAAAGCTGAAATTCATGACAGAAACAAAAATAAACTACTGAGCATGGTTTAATGGACTGGGGAAAAGTGATCCTTAGAATTTCAAAGTATGGATTAGAATGTAAAATTGTACAGGAGGGTCTGCCTGTAACAAGGAAGAGGGTGAGTTTTTCTCAAGCTTAGAATCTTACAGCATGGAGAATTGAGGTAGGGATTCTTTTGTCCATCCTATATGCTTCATTCACAGTCGGGATTTTTACATTTCACAGAAGACACAAGGCTTCCCAGCATCACGCGTTGTCCCCAGCTGCTTTGATTTCTGTCCATCTCCCCGGACTTCCTCGAGGCATTGTGGATGGACATTTTGGGTTTGTGTGTTTGTTTGTAGGGATGGATTTTTGAAGGTTGAACCTCACATTTTTGAGCCTTTCCAGAAACAGGGAAAGGGCAAAGTGTTCACAGTTGCTGGTCGCTCACTGAGCAGATAAGCAGTGTCTTAAATCTCACCCAGTTCTATTTGTAGCAACTGGAAGGTGTTTTTTGTGTGCTGATGCCAGTCCTTGTTCTGTTTTCTACAGAAACGGTCCAGAGGGCAAGTGCTATTTGATAAAGTGTGCGAACACCTGAACCTGCTAGAAAAAGACTACTTTGGCCTTACGTACCGAGATGCTGAAAACCAGAAGGTGAGCCATCAAAGGCAGTGACAGCTGTTGCCTGCTGCTCACTGCTACGTGAACATGGCTAACACGGAATGGGTGGGAGGCTCTCCACACGCCCCCATTGGGACTGTGAGTGCCTCGGTGCTATTAATCACCTTCTTTCTTCACGGAGGAAATCCTTGACAACTCCCTTTCATCTGAATGTTTTGAGAACAGTAAGTCAGCTTCTCTCTCTCTCCCTCTCTCTCTCTCTCTCCCTCTCTCCCTCTCTCCCCCTCTCTCTCTCTCTATCCCTCTCTCTCTCTCCCTCTCTCCCGGAGTTCCTTGTGGTTGCAGGAAAGCATTTTCTGTGGTGCTATTTGGAATGCCGTCTTTTAGCAGAGTCTCTGAACCAATGAAAGCCAAATGCTCTGTTGCTGTGTAGAAACCATTTTCCCAGCCCAGAATTCCATGGAGACCTCACAGTTGTGAGTTAGATTACCAGGGTAGATGCCTGTTGGGGTTCCTGTATGATTGCCAGTTATCTTGTCACACACTCATACTCTTACCAAATCAGCAAGTGAGGCGGGTCTAACCTGACCCTTGTCAGCCATTGCATCTCACAGGTGAGATGCCTCAGTAGATGCTGGCACCCGAGTAACGCAGGCTGTTCAGAGCATTGCTCTCTGAATCTCCACACTACCTGAGAAACCAGGAAGAGAACCTTGTTTCCCTTGTATTGGTGCTGGAAACTGAGTCACAGAAGTCTTGTTCTCAGATGTTTCGGTGTTGTGCCATGAGTCCTTACTTGATACTGGCTGAAGTCCCTGGTCTATAGCTTCATTATTAAACATCCGATTTTCCCAATGAGGGAAACACAGAGTCTGCAGCCAGTGTTCGTTTGCTGGGATAGATTTCCAGACAGAGGCCTACGCATCCGTGACCACAGAAGTCATGAATGTGGAAGTCAGTGGCTAGGGCATCAGTGTGTCAAGTCCCATTTATTATCAAGTTACTTGGGTGAATTACTCAGACATAGACTCTTCTAGAATCCACCCACCCCCCTTTCTGTGCTAGCTCGAATCCCTGAGGACTATAAAAGAAAATATTTTTGCAAATACAAATGGCACACACATGCCTTTTCTTATTCACCCAGTGCCTGTGACTTTGTGGAGCTTGGTGGGGGAGGGGCACTAGATGCAGGGAAGAAACCATTCACTCTGATACCCATACCTCATCAACATGGAGTCATTTTTATTCTTTTCTCATTCCAACTCAAAATGTCGTTTCCTTTTCAGAATTGGTTGGACCCTGCGAAGGAAATTAAAAAACAGATTCGAAGTAAGTTCTTCTGGATTGCTTTCTGTGGTGACATGGATTTTTAGATAGCTGGCTTGTCTGAATCGGTAGCTCATATGAACTTGGCTAATGTGAATGTGCAGTGTTTGAAAGACACATTAAAATCGCAACTGTGATTTGGCAGGTTGTTTCTCAGATAGTGCCCATTTTTCTTCATCACAAGTCAGAAATGAGAATGACTATGACACTTGACTTATTCCTCTGCCTGCACACAGATATGAAATACATGATTTGATCAAGTGATGCTCCAGTTGGCAATTAACCACATAAAGATTCCAGACTTAATTATTAATGTTAAATTAAGCCTAAGTGCCACAAATGTCTACAAGTCAAGCTAAAAATAGTAGTCATTTGGTAGTTTAGAAATGGAATAACAAGTTGGACTGAAGTTTACTATCTGGTGACACCCTACCTTTCTTGATCTCTAGAAAGGGAAGTCAAGAAATGTCTGTTTCTATGATGGGCTTTGTGGTGCAGCAGGTTAAGCTGCCTCTTGGGATGCCCACATCCCTTGTCAGAGCGCTTGGAATCGAGTCCCACCCCTGCTTCCTGCAAATGTGCAGCCTGGGAGGCAGCAAATGATGGCTGAATTATTTGCTGATTCCCGCCACTCACATGGGAGACCTGACTGGAGTTCCCAGCTGCTGGCTTCAGCCTGGAACAGCCCTAGCTGGTGTGTGCATTTAGAATGAACCAGTTGATGAAAGATAGTTGTCTCTCTCTCTTTCTCTCTCTCTCTCTCTGTATCTTTCACTCACTCATTCTGCCTTTCACATAAAACATTAAAGGAAAATGTGTATTTCATAGTACACAAAACAAGTTGTATGAGAAACTCACAAAACTTGAGAATTAAAATAAGTTACTCATTCTTACTAATGATTAAATGGAATTAAAGTGAGACAACATTTTTCACCTATTCAGATTAGCAAAGACTTAAACAGTTTATTGATAAACTTCACTGGCAACTGTGAACCCAACTGGTAAAAGTAGAAATTGGTGCAACCCTTTAAAAAGTCAAGTTGTTCAGTATTTATTAAAATTTAAAATGTACTTGTTGACCCTCAATGTTACCTGTAAAATATTTTTAGCATATCTGTAGGAAAGTGCATGTGTGCATACACATTGAAGTTTATTGTTATGTTTTTTGCAATAGCAGAAAACAAGACACATTTTAAATCCTTATTTTAAAGATATTATTAAATCAGTCATAGAATCATCAAATAAATATGTCTTAGCCCTCATTACTGAAAGTCAATCTGCAGAATAGTGTCTATAACATAATCTCATTTATTGTTAAAATATTTAAGGTATATATGAAGGGTGTTCAGAATGTTCATCTTAATGTGTATTATGAAAAAATTATGCATGAGTTTCAATTTTTTGGCACCAAAATAAACTTACTGTTCAGTTCCATTTCCCCACACACTTTTTTAAGCACCTTGGTATTCATGGGAAACTTTTGGAAGACATGCAAGATATTAGCAGTGTTGGCTTGCAATAGAGGAAGGTGAGGAGGAGGAGTTAATTTGTAATTTTACATTTTACCCTTCTGATTTTTACCTCCAACAAGGATAATTTTTATAGTTTTAAATAATGAGGTAATTGTAAGCAGTTCTTATTTTTTTTTAATAAATCCTAGCTTAATTCTCCTGAACAACTAATCTAGTTGAAGAATAGATTTAAGAGTGGCTTATTCCGAACATCATTTCTATTGAAGTTTTCATCAGTTCACTACCTTTGAAGTCCTAAGATAATCAAAATACCCCAAATGCCAATAAAAGTAATTAGTAGTGAGCAGCTTGAAATAACTTAATAGCGGATAATATTGCCAAAGGAAAAAGAGCCACTGTGCTTCTAGAAATTAGAGAGTTTGCTGACTATTTATATAAACAAGACCTCATTTACCCTATTTTTAGAGAAATTTGATGATGGAAACAGTAATGTAGCTAACTGGAAATTTGATAATGAGTTAGTTTGAGAGAAATAGTCCAACTGGGATTTAAAACAAGGATAGCAATAGCCATGACAAATAAAAGTAGTGAGAACACTACTTTTTTAATTAATTAATTAATATTAATTTTTTAAGGAATACAAATTTAGTTAAGAACAACTTTAGGAATATAGTTATTCTTCCCACCATACCTGCCCTCCCAACTTCATTCCCACCCCACCTCCTCCTCCCTCTCCCCTTCCCAGTACCATTCTCCATTAAGATTCATTTTCAGTTAACTTTGTACACAGAAGACCACTCTATACTAAGTAAAGATTTCAACAATTTGCACACACACATTGAAAAAACCTTTAAGAACAAGTATCACAATTAACTCTCAATACAACTCATTGAGGACAGAGCGCGTGCAATGGGGAGTTAGTGCACAGTGACTCCTGTTGTTAATTTAACAATTAACACTCTTATGTATGACATCAGTGACCACCCAAGACTCTGACATGAGCTGTCTAGGCTATGGAAGCCTTTTGAATCCACAAACTCCATCAGTATTTAGACAAGGCCATAAGCAAGTGGAAGTTCTCTCCTCCTTTTATTTTTTTTTTGATTTTTTTTAACTTTTATTTAATGAATATAAATTTCCAAAGTACGACTTATGGATTACAATGGCTTCCCCCCCATACCGTCCCTCCCACCCACAACCCTCCCCTTTCCCACTCCCTCTCCCCTTCCATTCACATTCTCCTTTTAGAGAAAAGTATGTCCTTCTTTGATGGCCACTTCTTTTCATTGGGATCTCACTCACGGAGATCCTTCATGTAGAATATTTTTTTGCCATAGTGTCTTGGCTTTCCTTGCCTGAAATGCTCTCACTGGCTTTTCAGCCAGACCAGGGAGCCTTTAAGGGCTGATTCTGAGGTCAGAGTGCTACATAAAACAATTGTCATTCTGTGAGTCTGCTGGAGAACAGTACTTACTCTAAGTAATCTAAGTAAGATTCCTTACTCTAAGGAATCCTGATTTTAAAAATTAAGATAATGAGTAAGCACTAAAGATCTTTATTTTGTGTCATATGTTCTGGATTCATCTGATTAATGACTTAATGACTTGTTGAGCTGGTTAATGGATTAGGAACAGTCTGAATAGTGCACTGTAAAGTATCCAAGGATAAGTGAATATAAAAAGGTGTACAAGCTAACTTTCTCTTCTGTTGTTAATGGAAGCATTTTTTCCCTTAACTTCCCATTTGAGCTGTCTCCTATCCTCCTTCCTCCAAGAAGAAAATTAAAGAGATGATCAGAACATGAGATTTAAAGACTGTTTTCATCACACCGTGTGTGTGACTGCTACAAGAGGAAAACTACAGCCTTGCACATAGGGAGGAGACAGGAAAGTTGGGATATTTGCAAAAGTGGATTTTTGCATTTTAACTTTAAAAATGTAAAAGATACATGAAAATTATACTTATTTATGGAGTACTATGTTATGATTTGGTACATGTCTACATTGTGTAATGTCCAATCAGGTTAAATATAGTTATCTCTTCAAACATTTAATATTTGTTATGGTGAAAAATATCTGGAAGCCTACCTTCTACTTTTTTTTTTGAAAGAGAAATATATGTAGTACCATGGTTATCTCTATGTATCTACTGTCTTGTTCTTATCTGGATATTATCTAGTGCCAGTTAATCAACCTTTACCTGGATCTATGACCTTCATCCCTCCCAGCCTCTGGTAATTACATTATACTTTTAGCTGCTATGAGATCAACTGTTTTCAAGACTCCTCAGATGAGTGAGATCATGAGATACTTGTCTTTCTGTGCTGAGTTCACTTAACTGAAGGACCTTGAGTTCCATCCATGTTTCAAATGATTTCATCCTTTTTTACAGCTGAGTAGTATTTCATTGCATGTATGTGCCACACTTTCTTTATCCATTCTTCAGTGGATAGACACTGAGGCGGCTTCTATTTCTTGGTATTATGCATAGTGCTGCAGTCAATTTGGGAGTACTGAGGTCCCCTTGACAGACTGATTTCAGTGCCTTTGGCTATATACCCAGCAGTGAGATGCTGAGTTATATGGTGACTTTTTTTTAGTTTGTTGAGGAACCTCCATTCTGTTCTCCACAATGCTGCACTAATTTACTTTCCCACTAACAACGTGTGTTTTCTTTTCTCCACATCCTCACTAGCATTTGATCTCTTTTAACCTTTGTGATAATAGCAAGTCTAATTTGTGGTCTTGATGTGCATTTCTCTGATGATTTGTGATATTGATCATTTTGTCATGTACCTGTTGGCCATTTGTGTTTCTTCTTTTGTTTAGATCTACTGCCCAAATTTTAATTGAAGTATTTGTTTTTCTACTATTGAGTTGAGTTCTTTGTGTATTCTGGGTATTAATCACTTGTCAGATGGCAAATACTTCTCCCATTCTGTAGGTTGTCTCTTCACTCTGTTGTTTCCTATGCAGTGCAGAAGCTGTTTAGTTTGATGAAACCCCATTTGTGTATTTTTGCTTTTGTTTCCTGTGATTTGGAGATCTGATCCAGAAAATCCTTGCCCATTCCAGTGTTCTGAAGCCTTTTCCCTATGTCTTCTTCCAATGTTTTCAAGGTTTCAAGTCTTACATTGATGTCTTTGATCTACTTTGAGTTGATATTTTATGTGGTGAGAGTTAAGAGCCTAGTTTCATTCTCTTACATGTGGCCATCCAATTTTCTCAACACCATTTATTGAAAATTCTATCCTTTTATAAAACACATGTTAACAACTTTCTCAAAGATGATTTGACTGTGGATGCATGGGTTTATTTTCAGGGTTTCTGTTCAATCCCTCTTTTCTATATTTTTATGCCAAAACCATACTATTTTTATTACTGTAACTTTGCTACATATTTTAGTCAGGTATTATAATGCCTCCCATTTTGTTCTTTTTGCTCAAGATTGCTTTGACTAATCAGGGTCTTTTGTGATCCATACAAAGCTTAGTAGTTATTTTTCTGCTATAATTGGAATTTTGATTAGGATACTATTGAGTCTTTAAATTGCTTTGAGGAGTATGCTTTAACAGTATTGATTCTTCTAATCCATAAACATGAGATGTTTTTCCATTTTTTTGTATGTTCTCCTCAAGTGTTTTCATCAATGATTTATACTTTTCATTATAGAGATTTTCACATCTATTATTAAATTTATGCCTAGATATTTTTGTTAGTTATTGGAAATGGGATTGCTTTTTTGATTTCTTTTTCATATGACTTCATATAACAATACCACTGAGTTTTGTATGCTGACTTTGCATTCTGCAACTTTGATGACTAGAATTTTGTATTTTTTCTGTATTCTCTGTTATTTCCCATCCACTAAAATACTGTTATCCCAAAATTTACATTGTACTAGGGTAAAGAATATTATCGTATTGAACATAATTACTGTATCATCACTCTCCCTTCTTTAATATAGACAGATGATAAAAGGATTCTTCTATGCTTATCATGCTTTCAGTCCATAGTGTATCTCTAGAATTAAATCCTTAAGAGAATGAAGTTCAAGATTTTAAGTTATAAATATATAATAGTTAGTACATTCTAAAGCTGAAAAGTTTGTTCTTTTGTGCATGCCAGATCCTAAATTTTAAAATATTTTGTGATTACAAATGTATATTTATGATACAGAGTATATACATACTCATAGTAATATGATATGAATATTGCATATTTAAAAAATTTTAAGATTTGGCAGACGAAGAGGGCTAAAATTAGAAATTTTTTGTAAGAATGAACTTCCTTCAGTGTCACAATTTTCTATTTATCCTAAATCTGTAATTTAAAATCCTACCTCAGCATTATAGAAGTACTCATTGCCATGTGTTCAAGCTGTTTCATTTCCTCTTCTCACCAGGGCCCTCTTCTGAGCAGATAGAGAGTTGCAGGCTCCTCCACTGTGTCAGTGCCTGCTTCTGGATGATCTGTTTCTGCAGGGTTCTTTATGGGGAGATGCGCCTGAGCTTTAATTATGCCTCTTATTCATTTCAAGTTGTACACCTCAGTTTGCTGGATTTTTTAAATTGATATACAGACTATATTTTCTATAAATTTTCCCATCATTTCAAAGTAATGTCCTGAGAGACCTTGTAGTTATTTGGGGTGTACCCTTAGGATAGTGGGTTTCTTAGAAGGGATGATTTTCAAAGTGTGGTCCAAAGACCCACCTGTGTTAGAACAGTAAAGGAACTTGTTAAAACTCAAGTTCCTCAAAAAATCCCCACAGGTTCCTAGGCTATGTTCCAAATCCAAATCTCTGGGATAAATATCTCGGGGCACCGCGCTGGAGGAAGTTCCCAGGAATTGGCATTTTTAACAAGCATCTCCGAGACCCTTAGGCCCCCTGTAGTTTGCAGCTGACTTTCCTGGAATGAGGGTTTATGCATCAACATGTCTTCTCTGTACTTTGCTACATATAAGTTTCCCTACTTATAGTTTTCTCCCTGAATTTTTTGTAAGATTGTTTAATTACATTGCTGAACTACTCATTGGTTTCAAGGCATACTTTGAAATGGGTAAAAATGATGAGAGCGGTAAATCCATTTCCCATGACTAATCTATTATTTTTAATTCTATTTCCTTGGGGGAAAGCAAGCTGTCATTTTGAACCTCACTATTGGCCAACATCAAAGGGATCTAGTTGGGTAGGAATTGATAGGAAAGTCAGACCAAATAAGATTGCATTTAGAATAAGAAAAGGATTGTTTTTGAGAAGGGGGGCAATCACTAGAAATATCTTTGACTGATGTGTTTTATGGCTCATAATTCCTACAGCCCATGCTTCAATAATATTTTGAGTTGTTTTAAAAATAATACTAAATACCCAGTAATTGCTGTTCCTTGTCATGTGGAATCTTAAGTGTGATGTAAATAGTAGCATTAGAATAAACTATTTAGGCCAGTGTGGCACAGTGGATTGAGCCACCAGTTGCAAAGCTGGCATCCTGTATCTGAATACATTGAGTTCTGGCTGCTCTGCTTCTGATTCAGCTTCCTGCTACTGTGCCTGGGGAGGCAGCAGATGATGTCCCAAGTAGTTGGGCCTCTGCTACCCATGTGGTAGACAAGGATGGTGTTCCTGGCTCCTGGCTTCAACCTGGCCTAGCCCTGGCTGCTGCAGCTATTTGGGGAGTGAACCAGTGGATAGAAAGTCAGTCAGTTTGTCTCTCTTTGCCTTTGTCTCTGGCTCTTTCAGTCTGCCTTTCAAATAAGTAAATCTTTAAAAGAAAGTCCATGGAAAAAATAAAATTAAATGTTAATGTGCATTTCCCATGAACTTAAAAGAAAAATAAGAGTGAACTACAATGAGAAAGTGGATCTATGCTATTTATGATAGAAAAGTAGGAAACTGGTGAAGTGAAGTCTTAACCACTTACGCACATGAATGGTGCAAAGAAGGAGCTAAGGAACACTGACAGTACTAGACCTTGCTTCTGGATGTTTGGGAAGGAAGAGGCCAGGGATTACATGGAGTTTCCAGCAGTAATTTAATGGGGAGTGAGTGGCACTTGGCCAACTTTGGGAGAGTATTTAAAGTGCCAGGGCTGAACTGCAAGGTCACAGAATCGCTGAGTGAGAGTGAGACTGTGGCTCCCAAGGAAGGTGCAGGTGAAAGGTTTCCAGGATATGGCTACCAGGGAAACTGGGACTCTCCTGGAGTCCATGCAGACTACAGGCAGAGCCTCGGCTGTGGACCTGGTTATATGCTTATTTATGCAGTGAAGCAGGGAGGAGATAGGCAGGCTTGGGTAACTTAGTGCACGTAGAAGGCAAAAGCAAACAAGGTGAGTAGAAGGGGTGAAGGGGTAATTAGATCACACTAAGTGAGTATTATTGATAGGGGGGAAAGGATGTTATTTCCACTTCTGTACTGATAAATCAGACACAATTAGAGAGTGTATTAATGAAATGTAGACCTTGGTAAGGCTTAGTGATGATTTGAGGATATGCATAGACAGTGCACAGTGTTGGTACCTGTGAGCTAACCTCCCCTTGTTGGCTCTCAGTTCTGGATAGGCCTTATATGGATGCCACAGGAGGAGAATTGGGTGTTGCACCGTGATTACAAGGGATACTTCAAAAGGTCCCAGGGAAAATGGGATTAAAATATAAGTTTATTTTGGTGCAAAAAAATATGAAATCCATGCATAGTTTTTCATAATACATGTTTTCCATGAACTCTTTGAATACCCCTTGTACATTTAGGCATCTGTTTCACCAGAAGTTTTCCCCAAACAAGAAAAAAAGTTTTTAACATCCCATGTGTTAAAGCAATATTCATTACAACAAACCTTTTCCATAAAAATTAAAACGTGGGGGCTGGCATTGTGGTGCAACAGGTTAAAATGCTGCTTGGGACACCCACACCCCATGTTGGAGCACCTGGCTGGATTCCAACTCCTCTGAGCTTCCAGTCCAGCTTCCTGCTAATGCTCCTTTGAGGCAGCAGATGATGGCCCAAGTACTGAGGTTCTTGCCACCAACTTGAGACACATAGATGTAGTTCCTGGCTCCTGATTTCAGCCTGGCTTGGCTAGCTCTGACTGTTGCAGACATTGAGGGAGTAGGGAGTATGGAAGATCTCTCTCTTTCTCTGCCCCCCCCCTTCAAATATATCTTTAAAAACTTGGAAATAAAAATACGTTGAATACTCTCTTGCCATTTAATATAATTGGATTTGACCTGTAATAACAAAATAGAAAGGACAAAGAAAATGGTGTATGTCTGTATGTGTGTGAGCTATCCAGAAATTCATAGCAATATAAATCCAGTCCATTCTAAACTTATTTGATAGAGGATTATCCGTATCATTTACTGTTTTTCCTTCTTTCAAAGGATTGCCTTTGATCCTGAGTAAAGGAGGAAGTTGGGTCAATTTCTCTGGGCATTAGAAGTGCCAGTGAAGGATTTGATTGGAGAGAAGATTAGAAAATAAATGAGGTTTCAGACTTATCTATGGGTTTCATTGAGCAGAGATTTCCCTGTTTTGCATTAGTGATCAAAAGTGGCCTGAGTGTTAATACGTGGCGTTAAGGCAGTTTTGACTATCAATTTAAATCAAAAGAATAAGGAGATTTTCCAAGGTTTTATTCTAATTTTCTTTCCTATCCCTGCAGGTGGTGCTTGGCACTTTTCATTTAATGTGAAATTTTACCCACCAGACCCTGCCCAGCTATCAGAAGATATCACCAGGTACTTGAAAGGTGGCTATGATTTGCACAGGAGGCAAACTGGGGAACTGGGCATCTCTTAAATGCTCCAGAGAAGAACATGTCTATGTCTCCTAGTCTTACAGTCATCCACACTCAAGTGGCAAACAAAAGGCAACTCCGTGAGAGCACACATCTGAAGAGAGGAGTTGCCAAGACCCCATCTTTCACAGTTGCCTCGTAGGTGCTAGCCTGCTACTTCCCTCTGCCTGACCCTGGTGGGAACACATGCAAAATGGAGATAACTATCATCCTCCCACCATAGCCAAATTGGATGGAATTCAGCCTGAAATGATGCAACAATTCTTAGTAGTCCTGCTTTACAGCAGACTAAAAATGTCTCTTGGAGGCTTGTGTGGTTTATATAACCAACTGGGTGCTTGACAGCTGTTTTTAAAAATCACACACACGGATACACATAAACACATGTAAATTTGGGAGTTTACTTTCCGTGCCCTATGTATACAAGCAAAATGATTATTTTCTGGGGAGGGGAAGGGTACATTGAAAAATGCATCTAGTGTCAACCTATTCCAGCTTGTGCCTGAGCCCAGAGTGGAAGGGATACCCTTATAAAGCTAACTGTGTGTCTTAGTGTGAATTGGCTGTTCTCACAAAACACCAGAGACGGGGTGGTTTATAAGCAGCAGAGTTGTATTTCCCACAGTTCTAGGAGCCGGTTGTTGGGAGAGGACAGTGCCAGCAATCATGCTGTGGTGAGGGTCTGCTCCAGCGTTGCAGAGTCCAGCTTCCTGCTCTGTCCTCTCTTGGGAAGGGGATGGGGCTCTGTCCCTCCTTCTTTTCTGAGAGCACTCATCCCATTCACGAAGGCGCCATCCTCATGACCCAGTCCCCTCCTGAAGACCCCCGCTTCTCAGTCCATCACCTCCAGGGCAGGGTTTCAAAGGGAAGACACAACATTGGGTCCTTTGGTCTCGGTGTGGCACACGCTGACTCTCACCCAGTTTAGAGGTGTGGTTAAGACCAGGAAGAGCAGTTTGGTCTGGCACGTGCTGGATTTTCTGTGTAAACCTCACATCCTCTTTGGGGGACTTTTCACAAAAAGAAAATTACTTGGAACAGCTTCCGTTGCTTGCTCTGCTTCAAACTCGCTTCACCAGACAGGCGTATTAGAAGAGTGCCAGTCAGTTTCACAGGATTTCCTTCATATTTGCACTGCATTAGAAAGAATTTGTTTCTCATGTCAAGATTCTTCTCGGTCAATATTGGGGAATGATTTAATTATGGCTAATTGCAGGCTATAGAGCCTATTATCCCAGGATTTGAAAATTCAGTACACAATTTTTTCCTATCAATGTGGGTAGTGTTTGTTGAGCCTGTTAAATGTTCGAGAATTTTTATGTCTGGATTACATGGATTTTTCCTAAATCACCAGCCTAAAACCACACGGGGCAGAGTGGGGGGGACCTCAAGACTGGATCGTAGTCCTCTGCTCAGCACATTGAGAGTTCATCTCCTATGAAAGTACAGGGTGTACTCTATGATTATATGCAGAGGCCAGGCCATGATGGGTAGTAGTGGCACTCACCAGTGTTAGCACCCACATCCCACGTGTCAATCTTCAAAGCAAAATAATAGGACAAGTCAGCTAGTAAAAGATCTTTTTATATTGTGGAAAAATTATATGAAAAGAAAACATTTCTCCACTTTAAAACTATGTGTAGTGACAAGATTCTCTGAATTTAAGGTAGCAGTTCTTCAAAATTAGTCTAATATTTGCTGGCCTGTAGGGTGCTATCTGCATTTTTAAAGTGAGAACTGGAAACAGGTGAAACTGTTAGTTGTTGCAAACAGATGTCTTACAGAATGCACAAAGTTGAGGATGGAGTTTCATGGACACATTGCCGTGGAGTAATCTGAGATCTGTCCAGGTCACGTGGCAAGACCTGCCGACTGGATATCAAAGCAAGACTTCTTTAAGCTAGTTGGAGCTTAATACTCGTGTTTAAGAGCCTCATTTTTATATATTACGATGCTCCTCACCAAGGATTTTTGGGAAGTCTTTTGGGAGCTATTTGGCTTTAAAAGTCATTTTAAAAGATGTTAGAATATGTCTTTAGGTTTGTTTTAGTCTGTGTTATATTGATAAAGCTATTTTATTGTGAATATTGGCTTGCTTCTGGGGGCCCTTAAATGTTGTGCTTTGTAATCAAGTATTTTCCCCTTATAACTGTATCAAGTACAGATAAGTTAGCTATCAGCATTTGGAGATGCTGGACAATTTGTCCTAGAGAAGTTATTCCACAGCGAGAAAGAGCGTACCCCCAAGTTGCACTGAGTGACCTCCTTTGCAAGCGTCCTCACACTGGCTCCTCGCTGTGCCCTTTCGGCCCCGGAAGGTACTACCTCTGCTTACAGCTGCGAGACGACGTCGTGTCTGGCAGGCTGCCCTGCTCCTTCGTGACGCTCGCCCTGCTGGGCTCCTACACCGTCCAGTCAGAACTGGGAGACTACGACCCAGATGAATGCGGGAACGATTACATCAGCGAGTTCCGCTTTGCGCCAAACCACACGAAAGAACTGGAAGATAAAGTGATCGAGCTGCACAAGAGCCACAGGTTAGTCTCAGCATCCATTTAAGTTGCACCTTGACTTGCGAGCCTCATCTGTGCCACCCCACCTCCCAGTACTGATTCTAGTGTGTTAAGGATGGGATCTGAGCGGGGCGGGACTCTACCTGGGCACCTGTCACAGATCCTGGGGATCGTGAGTCCAGGCAGTCACCTGAATGCTGCCTTTCAAGGCCGTTCGTCTTGTTATTCCTTTCATTATAGAGGTTGAACACCCCATATCGCAAATACCTGAGCCCAGAAGTGTTTTTGCATATATATAACACGATGTCTTCAGAATGGAACCCAAACCTAAACCCAAAATTCATTTCTGTTTCTTATACACCTTAGGCACATGGCTTGAAACTGATTTCATGCAGTGTTAATATGAGAGGGCTTTAAAAGTTTTAGGAAAATGGAATTGAAACCTAAGTTAACTTGAGTCCTGAAAAATCTTTAAATCCATACATTTTTTTTCAATTATGCATTCCATGAACTTTTCGAAGTGCCCTTGTGTGCATTATACACATGCCAGAGGTAATTTTGTAGAATATTTTTAACACATCTGTACTTTCTGTACTTTTTGACTTTGACCTGTCACACGACATCAGTATTGGAATTTTCCACTTGTCATGTTGTGTCGGCACTCCACAAGTTTCATATTTTGGGCTGTGTATTTTTGGATTAGGGATGCTCGGCACAGGTATAGAACATGTATCTACTGTTGACTTGGTGGGGCTTTCTTGTCAGACAGCAGGGAGCTGAATGGGAAATTTTGCAGCCTGGCTAAGTAGCGGAAAAGCAACTGACCGCTTTTAATTTTTTTTTATTTAGTAAATATAAATTTCCAAAGTACAGTTTATGGATTACAATGGCTTCCCCCCCATAACTTCCCTCCCACCCACACCCTTCCCCTCTCCCGCTCCCTCTCCCATTCCATTCACATCAAGATTCATTTTCAATTCTCTTTATATACAGAAGATCAATTTAGTATATATTAAGTAAAGATTTCATCAGTTTGCACCCACACAGAAACACAAAGTGTAAAATACTGTTTCAGTACTAGTTATAGCATTACTTCACATTGGACAACACATTAAGGACAGATCCCACGTGAGAAGTAAGTACACAGTGACTCCTGTTGTTGACTTAACAATTTGACACTCTTGTTTATGGCATCAGTCATCTCCCTAGGCTCTAGTCATGCGTTGCCAAGGCTATGGAAGCCTTTTGGGTTCGCCAACTTTGATCTTATTCTGACAGGGTCATAGTCAAAGTGGAAGTTCTCTCCTCCCTTCAGAGAAAGGTACCTTCTTCTTTGATAGCCCCGTTCTTTCCACTGGGATCTCACTCACAGAGCTCTTTCATTTAGGTGGTCGTCGTCGTCGTCTTCTTCTTCTTCTTCTTTTTTTTTTTTTCCAGAGTGTCTTGGCTTTCCATGCCTAAAATACTCTCATGGGCTCTTCAGCCATATCCGAATGCCTTAAGGGCTGATTCTGAGGCCAGAGTGCTATTTAGGACATCTGCCATTCTATGAGTCTGCTGTGTCTCCCACTTCCCATGATGGATCGTTCTCTCCCTTTTTGATTCTATCAGTTAGTATTAGCAGACACTAGTCTTGTTTGTGTGATTCCCTTTGACTCTTAGACCTATCAGTGTGATCAATTGTGAACTGAAATTGATCACTTGGACTAGTGAGATGGCATTGGTACATGCCACCTTGATGGGATTGTATTGGAATCCCCTGGCACGTTTCTAACTCCACCATTTGGGGCAAGTCCGATTGAGCATGTCCCAAATTGTACATCTCCTCCCTCTCTTATTCCCACTCTTATATTTAACAGGGATCACTTTTCAGTTAAAATTTAAACACCTAAGAATAATTGTGTGTTAATTACAGAGTTCAACCAATAGTACTAGAACAACAATAAAAAATACTAAAATGGATAAAGTATTACATTGTACATCAACAGTCAAGACAAGAGCTAGAGCAAGACAGGCAGAGAGTTCCTGTCTGCTGGTTCACTCAGCAAATGCCCACAAGAGCCAGGGATAGGAAGGTGGTGCAGGGGAGCCAAAGCCAGGGTCTAGGTCTAGGTCATAGGCGATCCAGGTCTCCTATGTGGGTGGTAGGGGCCCAACTGCTTAAGCCACTATGGCTGCCTCCTAGGATCTGGATTAGCAGGGAGCCAGAGGTGTGTATCGAAGCCAGATATTGCAGTGAGGGATACAGGCATCATAACAGTCAGTTAGGCCAAACACCTGGCCATATTTCTAAACATTTAATGCTAATTGATTAGAAGGTAGAGTAAACTCATAATAAAACTTTTTCTCTTTATCAGAGGAATGACACCAGCAGAAGCAGAGATGCACTTCTTAGAGAATGCCAAGAAACTGTCCATGTACGGGGTAGATTTACATCACGCTAAGGTATGTGTTTTTAAACTCCAAGCTTAGCCTTCTGTTTCATTTTGTGTAATGATATGTTAGATTGCCATAAGCAAGATATTTTTTTACTTGATTAATGTAAATGAAAACTTGGAGAATTCCAGTCGGTACATGCCCTTTAAGCCCTACTCCATGATAAAGCAAACACAGCACTCTTACCTGGACTGAGGGAGTTACTCTTCATGGTTCAAATTTGCCGTAGACACTGGCTCAGCCTCCAGACAGGCAGCGATCAGCCAAGGCTCTGTGATGTTGCCTGTTGATTGTGTTACAAACTTCTCTTGACTTAACAAGCTCTTAGCTCTGTCCTGCCACAGTGACATCTCCCACTCTGTGGGGCCAAGCACCCATGGCTGCCATCACAGCCTGCCTCTGCCTTTTCCCTGTCCACATCAGGACTGTCCTGTTCTCTCCTGTCTGGCTGTCCACACTTGGCCTGTCGTCTAAGATCCAAGTGTTGCACCTGTTGCCTCTTTGGTACTATGTATGCCACCAGACACTCAGTAAGTTCATGAGAAATTGAAAGAAATCTAAGTTCTAAACTAGTTCAGACAAATAATCAGTACTTTGAGATAGTTATTTTTATGTTCGACTAAAATTAGCCCCGTTGCCTGGTGGTTGAGAGATGTGTGTTGAGTGTGGAATCTTGGGAAGACAAAGGTTGGAATTGGACTGCAGAACAGCTACAGTTGTGAGGAGACATGGAACAACTCTGCAGCGTGCTGTGCAATTCTAGAATCTCTGTCCTTTTCACCATTGAGGGAATGAGTGTGCAGCCTACAAGTCTGCCACTTAAGCAGCATGAATAAAAGTTTTAAGGAAAAACAGCAAAGCTTTTATGAAGCCTTGCAGCAGGAAAGCCTGAATTTTGAGAGGATCCTAGGGTGGGTTCAGAGTCTTCAGCATTGTTCAAATAAGGTTAATATTCAAAGTTCAGGGTGGTTTCCTCTGATTGGGGTGACAAGATAACATCCCTCTCACATAGTGATGTGGCCTTAACCTCTGATGGACAGTTAGTCACCAATTTCACAGTCTGGGTCTCACAGAGCGTGCAGTTGCAGGCTTCCTGGCGAGTGAGGATCCTACAGAGTCAGTTCAGGGCCTGGAAATAAAGAGAATTTCAGCCAAATCAACTCAAGCAAACATCTCAACAATCCCCAGGACCCGTGGGGCAGAAGTCTAGGATCTGTAGGGTTTGTTGCTGCTGGGAGTCAAGCCAGGCTGCTCTTGGGCCGGCATTTAAGGAGCAGACTAACCCGCAGTGAGTTTCGACAGGAAAATGAGGGCCATGAGACTGGTGACGCCTGTGGTCAGTTTGGATGTCACACAGGGTGGCCGTTGCGGAGGCCTGGGCGCCAGCAGAACCTCGGAGACTTGACTGAGCTCTGGCCAGCATGTAGTGGTCCACGGGTGCCGAGCGTGTGTAACTGCAGCAGCAGATGTAGCCCTGTTTCCTTGTCAGTTCATTATCATACATTTTCGCTTACTTTGCACTCAAATAACAAAGATATTTTTAATTTTATACCAGGTATAGTTTTAGGGTAAGCTTTTCAAAAGAAGAGTAAGGAAAGGCTAGAAGATTTTTCTTATTTCTCTTAGAGTTTTTCCCCAGGTGGATAAAAGATAAGAGATCAAGAAGGAAATGAGGGTGACCTGATCATTGGAGTGAATCTAAAGCTATTTTTGAATTACATCACATGCTGTGATTCACTTACTGTCCAGAAAAAAATAAATAAATAAAAGATTAGGGCACACATTTAGGGAAGTACAGCTCAGGATGCATCAGTGTTCCTATCAGTAAAAATAAAATCACTTAACAGTGCTGTAGCTACTGAATGCAAATGGATGGCTACTTTTTCATTCAATAATATGATTTGAAATTAGGCCAATTAAAAAGAAAGAGAATTAAGGAAGTGCAATGCAGCCCATCAGAGAATTTTATCTGAATATTAAGTATAACAGATGATTTGGTTATAGACTCCATTTTCTCCTGCAGCCACACACCGTCATTTCAAGGAGGAAATTTACTGAATTGAATTAGAGCCAATTTATGGTCATGGGTGAGATGCTTCTCATCTGTTGGTAGTAGGAAAGGCCCTGAGCTTTCCAATCCATGTTAAAATTCTGAATTGTGGTCTTGGACTCTTTGGTTGTGTACAAAGAATGAATGCCCTGCCCCCATGGAGATGAAGGTCCTATGTTTTGGAAAAACTATTCTAAATATCTTAGAAAAAATGTTCACAATGCTTTTTCTTTTCTTTGGGAATCTTTCTCTGCTTGTTGTCACTTAATGCCGATCTTAAGAGGCTTTGTCGGAGTCATTTGTTTCATGTACGATTCTGAGATGTAGATAAAGGAACATGTTGGATAGCCCGTGTTCTGAGTGCTACTGAGGGATGGCAGATTTTGTGTTTTGGTTGTTGTTGTGAAAGATTTTTTTTGGTAGTAGTTATTTTCTCACTGACATTGTTTATTTGTTTATTTATTTGGAACAACAGAGGGACCAAGATGTCTCAAACATTGAATTGCTTCCCAAATGCCCACAATGGCTGTGGCTGGGCCAGCCTGAAGTCAGGAGCCAGACACTCTGTTCGGTGGCAGGGACCCAAGTGTTTGAGCCATCATCTGCTGCCTCCCAGAGTGTGCATTAGTAGGAAGCTAGAGTCAGGAGCAGGGCAGGCATTAGACTCAAACACTCTGGTAGGGGATGTGGGCCATCCAAGCAGTGGTCAAACGCCTACCCACCCGCGTCATTCTTCATTCCTGTGCAGAATATAAAATAGAAGCTTTCATTCACTGCAGAATCCCACTTACTACTGCCATTTTCATTTTTTATTCTAATATTTATTTATTTGTAAGAATTACACAGAGAGAGGGAGAGACAGAGAAAGAGAGGTCTTCTATTCACTGGTTCACTCCACATCACCACAACAGCCAGGGCTGAGCCAGCTGAAGCCAGGAGCCAGGGGCTTCATCTAGGTCTCCCACGTAGGTGGCAGGGACCCAAGCACTTGGGCCATCTTCTGCTTTTCCCAGGCCATCAGCAGGGAGCTGGATTGGAAGTGGAGCAGCCAGGACACAAGCCAAGCGCCCATATGGGATGCCGTTGTTGCAGGCAGCAGCTTAACCTGCTAAGCCACATCACTGGCCCCCATTTTTTATTCTTTTCTTTCAACAAACACATAATGGCTAAATCCATGCCAGGTAGACCTGTGCTGACCTTGAGGTCACTAACAACTTTGCTGCCAACCAGCTTATGGAATCCAGGAGGAGGAAGACCCTGGGAGATTATTTCATTGCCACTTGCTAAGGGGTGTGTCAGCAATAACATTGATTTGGGGACACAGAAGCCTATGTTGGATGGGACAAGAAGAGGAGGTGTCAAGAGCCTTCCTTACCTATGAAGGCACACAGTTTTCTTATAGTTCAGATAATAATTGGAGTTAGCATTGAGGCCTACCAGATAAAACGGCCACCCTCATCCCATATGGGTACCTGTTCTAGTCCCGGCTGCTCCACTTCCCATCCAACTCCCTGCTAATAGCCTGAGAAAAGCACCAGAAGATGGCCCAAGTGCTTGGGCCGCTGCCACACGCGTGGCAGATGTGAAAGAAGTTCCTGGCTCCCGGCTTCGGCCTGGCCTGGGCCGAGCTGGAGCAGCCATCTGGGGAGTGAAGCAGCAGATAGAAGAGCTCTCTGTGTCTCTCCCTCTCTCTGTAACTCTCACTTTCAAATAAATAAATGAATCTTAAAAAAAAAAAAAAAGATACTAGTGGATGATTTTCAAATAGATAATAATGAAAAAATATTTTAAAATATGCTTTCCATCTATTGGTCAAAGGTATGTTTCCTAAACTTGTATTTTCTATCAGCGAGAGAGTGAGCCCAGGAGCAGTTATTTAGACTGTCCTTGCCATGCCTGTGTTTCTGTGCACAGCGGGAGCCGGTCCCTCAGAGTGGTCATGTGAACAGATTGTTTCATTCCAAGGGATCAATAACAGCACTGACTTGTCAGCGTCCGGTATTGCTGCTCAAATTGCTCTTTCTAATTAAAGTCCTTGATAAATGGTGGCCAGTTTCTGGTCTTTGAATTCTCCTCAAATGTTATTATATTGTAATATCCTGCCATCAACTATTTCCATTCCAGTACAGTAATTTGGTATCTAATGGAGTAATGTGTTTCCAAGGTAAGATATTTCCTGTTAAACCAATTATATTGTTAACTTAGTTTCTCAGAGGTGGACCAATATATTTATTTTAAAGAGCTTTAGGGGGAAAAAAAGAAAATTGTATTTGAAAGGGGGAAAGAGAGAGAGCAAGTGCTCTCCTGTGTGCTGGTTCATGCCCCCAAGTGCCCACAATGGCCGGAGCTGTGCCATGCTGAAGCTGGCAACTCATTCCAAGTTTCCCACATGGGTGAAAATTACACAAATATTTGAATCATCACCGCTGTCCCCAGGGATCTGCACTGGAAGGAAACTAGAATCAGAAGACAAAGCTGGGACCCCAGCCCAGGCACTCCAATATGGGATGCAGGTATCAAACAGGTGTCTTAACTGTTGGGCCAGATTCCCACCCCAGTTGTCCATCTTGGGCCTCGCACTGACAGGATTGAGGAAGTGACTCCCCACAAAGTGGATGAGTCAGCATCTGGGGTGGATTCTTCCAGATTTTCCCCCGTCCTCTGTCCTGATGCTGCTTAAACACAGGGACAGCCTGATGAATGCGACAGAAGACCTGAGCATAGCTCCCTGCGTGTGACCGACCACAGCCCTCTCTGCACCCTGCTTCCAACCCTCGGTGGGACTCTGCAGCTCACACCCAGCCTTGCCTCTGCCCTGTCTTTTTACCCCATGCAAGGCCAGCATCCCTGCTCATTGTACCTTGGTTCTGATGCAAGATAACATCTATACTGCATAGGGCATATCTCATAAGGTCGGCCAAAGGTCTCTGATGACCTCTAGGCATCACATATTGCTTAGCAGATACCTAAAAATGGGATGTCATAAAGGCAAATTGCAATTTTAATACATCCCCACTTTTGTCTTTTTAAAAAACTACACACATATATAAAACTCGTATTTATGTGTGGCAGCCGTATTGTTTGATGTTACCCCCACTGGGTGGTGTGTGGGTGAGGAAGGAGTGTTGGAAGAACACACTCATCTTTTGGCATAGCAAGTTAAGCCACCACCTTGAGGTGCCAGCATCCCATATCAGAGTGCTGGTTCTAGTCCTGGCTACTCCATTTGTGATTTAGCTTTTTGCTAATGGGTCCTGGGAGACAGAAGATGATGGGAGGCCTGGACAGAGTTCTGGGCTGCTGGTTTCAGGCTGACCCAGCCCTGGGTGTTGCAGGCATTTGGGGAGTGAAACAGCAGATGGAGGAGCTCTCTCTCTCCCTCTCTCCCTCTCTCCCTCTCTCCCTCTCTCCCTCCCCTTCCCCTCCCCTCCTCCTCTCCCTCTCTCACTCTCACTCTCACTCTCTCTTTCTCCCCTTCCTCCCTCCCTTTTTCCCTTCCTTTCCCTGTCTCTCTGCTTTCAAGTGGGAGAAAAAAAATAACCATTAAAAACCCTATTTATATTTAAATTGTATTCTGACTATGATGGTTTGTAAAGATTGAGGTTCTTTTTAAAGATACAAGCCCCAAGATTCTCACAGGGAAGAACTTGTTGGTATACCTATCAGTTAAGGGTGCTGTCTCTGGAACCAGGCAGCCCATGTTCAACTGGGATGGATGGACACTTCACCTCTCCATATCTCGTGTTCCTCTTCTATAAAATGGGAATACTGATAGCAACACTATCCATCTATCACAGTAACTATTAAAGTTAAGTTAATGTACATAGTTGGAGCAGTGGCTGGTACTCAATAAGTGAGAATGTGGCTATTCTGATTATAATTATTTATCTATCTACCTTCGTCTACTTGGTCTCCAGTGTATGTGTTTATGTCTTGAGTCTAAGATGCCTGAGTGAGCAGCGTTTATGCTAACACATCTCCATAGTGATGAATGTCCCCCTTAGAAAACTGTTATTCACTGGTAATGTTTTTTAAATGGCTGCAATATTTTTTATATTCAAATTAGGCCTTTATAGGTTCTGTCATGAAGGCTTAAATATTGTACCCAGCTGAAAGTGGGCCTGTGTGAGACACTGACTCACTTTTCTTGCTGCTGTTTCCCAGGATTCAGAAGGAGTAGAAATTATGTTAGGAGTTTGTGCAAGTGGCCTATTGATATATCGTGACCGACTACGAATAAATCGATTTGCCTGGCCCAAGGTTCTCAAAATTTCATACAAACGGAACAATTTTTACATTAAGATCCGGCCGGGAGAGGTACGTATACCTACATTTGCATGTGTGTTGGGAAGAAAAGTCCCTGACAGCAAATAAAAATTTAAATGATCTGGCAAGTTCTCAGCAATATGGGATGTGGTGAAGTATGTCTGAATGCCTGAGAGAATTTATTGCAGGTTTGTCCAATAAACAGTAATAAATAAAGACTCCCCCTTACTATGTTCCAGCTTTCTCCCGCTGCATACATTAATTGAAAGCATTTTTCACGACATATTTCATATAAAATCATGATTCACAAATGATGTTTTGTGTGTGAATAATTTTTTTCATGTGTCAAGCTGTGATGAATGGATGTCTTCCTCTGGGTCCTGTTATATCTTCAGGCCCTTTGTATTTCTCCTGCAAATCTGGTTGCACCTGTGAGTGAATTGCTTGGACATAATGTGCTTCAGGTTACAGAGAAGATTAGAACAGGGAGTCTGAGTGTGAGTGATGTAAAATGTTCCACAGCCCCAGTGTATTTCTAGAATATCCCACTTTTTTTTAAATTAGAGATGTTAATGAAATAATCAGAATTGTTAACTAACCCCTACTCCTTGGGCACAGCCTCTATGATTAACATATTTATATCCTCCTTAGTGGTTTGTACTTAATAAGTAATACATAATTTGCTTTGATTTGCTGAAGAGATAGTTACTAACTCCCTCCAGTTTCTAATTGGTGTGGTTAATATAATGGAGACAGTGAAAGCTCAAGGTTTGTAGTTCATCCAGAACATTTGCTGGTATCATGTAGAATTATCTTCTGTCTTCAAAATCTCCCTCTCCATTGGAGTTTCTTAGTGTAAAATGCAATTTTAAAAATCAGAATATATAGCAAATAATCATGTTTAATGTAGATACGAAATTATACTTCTCTTTAATAGCTTAAATATTTATTAAATGAGCATCTGTTGTCAGGCACAGTTGATTTTGGAAATACAAAGACCTTCTTCCTGTTCATAAGGGATTTTCTATTTAGAAGGAAAACATGCACTCACACTGAGTTGTGGCACCATGCTGCAAGTGAGATAATCTACAGAGGACTGAGCATAGGGTTATGAGGGAGAGGCAGAGGAACCAATCAGTAGGGAGTAGTGAACTATGGAAGGTTTTAACTTAGGGCAAGGTGCAGCTACCTGACTATTTGGGAATGGATGGATTTCTTAATGAAGTTTGACCTCTTAACAAATATGTGATGAGACCTAAACTAGGGCAGGGCTGTGGGATCAGAAAGGAGGGCAGAGCTTCGAGAGAAGAGGGTCAGCGGCAGGTGGGATAGAGGAGGGATTGAAAGAGGAAAGCACCCACCTTCGTCAGTGGCTTTCAGTTTGCCTGAGTGATGTTGATGGCAGTGATTTTAAACAGTGAGAATTCAGGGAAAGAAAACAAGATGGAAATTTCTTCGGGATAGATTTTTAGAGGAGGCATTTCTTATGTAGTAGAAAATTTAACAGAGATATCAACTGTATACATGCTATTCAAGGCCTTAGACACAGAATAAACTACTCAAAGAGCAACAGAAGTTAAAGAGGAGGCCGTAACGCGACCCTGGGCACCACCAGTATCCAAGAGCAGGCCAGGCAGAAGAGAAGCATGGGGAGATTAAGAAAAACGGCCCAAGAAATCAGGGGCAGACTGACGGATGACAGGGTGAGTCTCAGGAGAAGGCGGTTTGCCGGGAGCGCCCTCTGTCACAGGGAGGGCAGGCAGCATGCGGATCTGACTGCCAGGTCCCATTATGCCATGAAGAGTTCAGGAAGGTGTTGGAGCACCTGTCAGCGTGAGGTGAGGCGAGGAGAGAAGCAGCCGAGGCAGAGGTCACTGGCTTCTCTCTCATCCAGGTTAGCAGAAAGGCAGGGTTTTGATGCCAGCAGAAGCAAGCTGAAAGAACGTTGATTTTTTCCAGTTTTTAATGTTCATGTTTGTAGAGCAAGAATGAGTGAGAAGAATTTACTGATGGCACATGGGCTCTGAAGACATTGGAATAAATGGATGCAGATGATAGATAGACAGACAGACACTGAATGGCTGGAAGCCTGTGTCATTTTGTGCTAAGAAGGATAGCAGTAAGATCCTTCCTGAAAAAAAAATTTTAAAAAAAGCTAACCTCATAGAGGTAGAGAGCAAAAAGAGGGGTCACCAGAGACTGGGGAAGGTGTGTGGCGGGGGGATGGAGACGGGTACAGTTGGGTAGGAGTAACTTCTGTTCTGTAGCACAGTAGAATGACTGTGATTGACAGTAATTAGCTGTATATTTTAAAATAGTTAGTAGAATTTCAAGTATTTCCAACACAAAAAAATGTTAAAAGTTTGAGGTGATGGATATGCCAATTACCCAAACTGATGATGATACATGGTATACGTGTGATGAAATATCACATTATACCCCATAAAGAAGCACAATTATTATGTGTCAATAAAAAAAATTAAGGGGCTTTTCCCAGCTTCTTGTAGCAAAGAGCAAGTTGACTTTTTTATAGCCTGTGGTGTTAGTACAGTATATGGAACCTGTTAGGCACAGGATAAACAACTGGATGGCGGTTTGGTAAAGCCACAGTACTCCTGGCCTGACTGGGTCTAGGGGATAGTAGCAGTTTTTACAACTACCTCTGCATGTGAGCATCCTAGAAAAGGCAGTTGCAGTTGGAACTACTTACGATATATTTCTGAATTTCTGCAGTCATCCTCAGCAAACAAGCAACAGAGTTCAAGTGTGAGTGTATCTCACATGCCATGCCTATGACCCCTCACCAAGCTTCTTTGCTACGTAAATTACTTTCACTACTAGTTCCATCAATAGCCAGGTTGTGTGCTGTTTTGGAAAGCCTTTACTGTTTAAGATGATCGCCCTCTGGTGGCCTGTTGTATACTGCTTTCGTTAAGTAAAAACTGCACGTCTGCAGTGGTGTTATAAAATATGTTTAGAAAAGCAGATCACATATTTCACCTTGAAAATGCAGATGGCAGATGGAATGTCATCCAAAATATGCATTCTGAAAATAATGGGATGTGTTCTCCCAAAGTATAATCTTATGTCTGATACAGAGATATTAGTATTTAACATGATAGTCCATTGCCGAACACACAAAATCAAGGATATCTGCTACCAAGTCATCAAAGACCTAGGAAATACACATATTTTTTTGTCCAGATACTAGGATAAAATGTCCTTTCTGCGATTCGATAAACTATGTCCATAAACATATTGACCATTTCTGTACATTCCAGCTGAAGTCATTCTGTCATTGAGAAAGTGAAATTACAACTTAAAAATGAGATCCAGACAAATTGATCTGTGGAAGCAATTCAAATAAACTCCTTTTCTGTGTTTACTTTCCATAAGACCCATTCTTGTGCCCAACTTGACTATATGCATGTAGCAGTTATCCCTCCCTGCAGCATTTTAAGGAGATGGATAGGATAAGGTCTTTAAAATGAATGAATGTGTACAACATGAATTCTACATGGTTTAATAAGTAAAGAGGAATTTGCAGGTGACACTGTGGTTTTGTAAATTAGTTGCTGATCTTCTGTTACTTTTAATTCCAAATTGACTCTTGACTGTCCCCTTCTAAAATTTAGTTTGAGCAATTTGAAAGCACCATTGGGTTTAAGCTGCCAAACCATCGAGCCGCCAAGCGTTTATGGAAAGTGTGTGTTGAGCACCACACATTTTTCAGGTAAGTACAGATCATCTTGATTTTTCCCAAGAAAGAATGGGAATGATTGGAATAACTCAAACTGAAAAAGTTATTGGGAAAAAAAAATAGGGAAGCATCTCCTTCTGTTCCTTGATTTTACTGTTCACCACGTTTCTTCATAAGAAATCCCAAAAGAACTTCTGAGTAAATTACAAGGATGTTCCTTAATTGCCTTGTGTGTGTATCTGCCTCCTTCTTCGTTATCTTTCGTGTCTTTATGTTATTTACAGGTTGTCCACTTCACTTGTCCAATCCATCCCTTACTATTTCAGTAACCTCTCAATAGCTGGGGCCCCTTTACCCACATGTGGGACCAGGCCCATGAGATTTGTGTCTACAGAGCAAAAATTCTGCCTCTTCCCCTTCATGACATCACCTAGTTCATTTCTCTTTGGGCTTATGGGACCGCAGACTCCCCACTTGCATGGGATGCTGAAATTCTAGTTCCCACCCAACCCTTGTTTGGCTCACATCTTCTCCGCAACATACCTCTAACTGATCCCTCCTCCTATAGGAACTGATGTCTTTTCTTATAAAATCAGATTCCTTTCACTGCAGAAAGTTTAAAAAGCATTCTTAATTTTTGACTTACTAGACTTCCTTATGTGTCTCTTCATATCTTTAGACTGTTGTTACCAGAAGCACCTCCAAAGAAATTCCTCACTCTGGGTTCCAAGTTCCGTTACAGTGGCAGAACGCAAGCCCAAACAAGAAGGGCCAGTGCGTTGATAGATCGCCCAGCGCCTTACTTTGAACGCTCGTCCAGCAAACGCTATACCATGTCTCGCAGCTTGGATGGAGGTAAGCATCGCTTTCTGGCCCTTGCTGATCACCTGGAGCCCCCCATAAAGGGGTATGAATCCATCGTGACCTTTTCATAAATGTAGATCTTCCTGGATATTGTAAAATGACAAAAGGTTGTTGGTCTGCAGCTGAGTGACTGATTTTTAAGCCGTCATACTTTGTCTAACATCTGTGTTATTGGTAGATTTATATAAAATTACTCAAAAGAATGGTACTTAAGGAGTGAAGGACATCCTTCCATAAGCTGGCACCCTGAAACTGGAAAAAGATGCTGCCATTCCAAATGTAGTGGGCACATACTCTGGTCTTAAATGACTAACAGATTTGCATCTGATTCTTTGTTTCAGAAAGGAAAATGTAAGTTCAGATCATTCTTGTTTCTCAAAATGTTTTATGAATAAAACGTTGACATCTACCAGGTACTTGATAAACTGGTAAGAAAGATGGCATTCAAATAACAGAACAAAGGGCTCCAACTTGGTTTCTCCTAGTTCACATTAATCAGTACACCAGATGGACTGGGAGAACATTGCTGTCTGATTGTTCAGGACTGTCAGGTCAAATGTGCCAAGTCAAATGGGGAGATAATCACTCAGCTATTTAAGGGAATAAACTAATGGTGCTTGTGGGTAGGTTTTTGTTAGCTCTGGCAGGTTTGTGTTGCTGTCGGCTGTGGTAGGGAGATGTCGCCTCTGCTGCACCAGCTATAGTAACACTCCACACTCCACTCAGGAGCGGGGCCCTGGCCTGGCCCCTGCCTTGTGTGTCAGAGCACCTGAAGATGACTTGTTTCATAGAACATCTGTGCTATGCAAATAAAAAGAAAACTTTCTGGCATGCACATATGGTTTTAGTAATAAGCAAAAAGTAATACAAATGATAAGTGCCCAGGACCATCCCTACCATTTTTGCCATTGCTCCTCAAAGAGTCTCAGTTCTCCCTTTGCCTTTGACCATAGCCTTGTGTAGTTGATGGGGCAACATGTTCCCTGAATCCTCTGATTTAAAAAAAATACTATTTTTTTCCTAACAGAATTCTTCCTTGACAGTTTGTAGAAGAAATCAAGATTGTATTGTTAGTTCTGTGTTGTGTGTGGCTAGTGAGGTGGTGTCCACACTTGCCTTGTGTGGATCATACCAGTTGAAGTCCAGGCTCTGGTGCATGCCCTCTGTCTTAGGCAAGGCTGGCAGATGACTTCAACTCTCCAGGTCTCAGTTTTAGTCATCTGTACAATGGGAGTAAGACCACTCTCCAAACAAAATATATGTGAAAGCACTCTTGGAGTAGATTCAATTATAATTATCTCAGTGATTGTGTTAGTGATGATCCGCATAAGCTTTTGGGAGTTGGCCTAGGAAGTAGCTTCTGGTCGGCCCTCCATACTGGTAAGTTCCCTATCCCTGGAGTCAGCCAACTGTGAATCAAAAATATTCTTAAAAGAGAACTGTGTCTACATTGGACATGTCCAGACTCTTTTCTTCTTATTCCCTAAACAATGCAGCATAATAATGATTTACATTTACATTGAATCTGACAGTCTCAGTAACCCAGAGATGATTTAAAGTGTACAGCAGCATGTGGGTAGATAATAGGCAAATCCTGCACTGTTCTATAAAAGGGACTTGAGTGCCCACAGATCTGGGGGTCCCAGATCTCCTGGAACCAATGACCCCCTGCAGATACAGATACCATTCTGTGTCTTCGGAGGGTTACCAGAACACCAAACTTAGAGCCTGCCCTTTGGAATAAAACAGTGTCTCAGGTTGAGTTAAGGTACTGACATAATGTGTGTTAACATTGAAGCTTCTTTTCATTGACGCTTTTTCCGTTGTCCTTTGGAGAAGCTCTGTTAACTATTTGTGTGTTCTCTAAGTCAATGCTGGAGCAACTTCTGTGGACGCATACCTTGTTTCCTGAATACCATCCATTTTGTTCCGTGATATGCGCCCAGGGGAACCCATTGGTTGTGAATGTTGTTTCTCCTGTGACCTTTTGTGTGATAGTGACTGCTGAGAAGACAGAAGACAATTGTGAAATCAATGTACTAATACCATGCTGTCTCTTCCTCCCTGCCCAAAAGTGATGTTAGTATGTGTTGTCTCTCACTTGCTACGGTCTTGCCAATTCTAGTATGTTTGCTGCTGCTGAACTTGTCTGCATGCTGGGACATAAACAGCTTTTTGCAAAGCTGCCTCAGATAGAACAGCCTAACTGGTCCGTTGGGAAGCCATCTTGCCTGAACTTTTTCATTGGCATAAGGAGATATAAAATATCTTAGTGAAGATATTTTAGTGAAATGATTTAACTATCAGAAGGATTTCAGAAGCCTTTTTATTTGTTTTAAAGCTCCTAGAATATGAATGCAGATTATGTTTGGCCTGTGATTTGCTACTGTGTATTTGTAAAGCAGCATTTATAACTTTTAATAAATTTTGTTATCTAAAATCTGAAATAATGAGAGGCAAATTTTAAAACTGAGGCATCTCTTTCACTAAGACATTTTAGCTGAGATGAAAGGCTGTATCTTATATCTCTTATGTCTGCATGCTGTGCATTTGCATGAATTTCATTTAGCAACATTTGTCTTGTTTTCCTAAAATATTAGGGTTGAAAGTATGAATATGCATATCGTGCTAGTCTATTTAAAATGCAATGGAAACCAAAAAAAAAAAAAAAAAAAAACCTCGCTTCCTGTACTTCATTTGAACTAAATTGCCATTTGAATTTTATAATCTCTGCTAAAGATAGTTAATTTTCATTATTATCCTTGGGACCTTTATGTTGTAAGAATGATAGGCTATTTCACGTTAATAAGGATAATAATAAAACCAATTTGGTGCTCCTTGGTGAGTGTTACTTCTAAAGGTATGTTCAAAGCCAAGTGTATTAGAGCCATCATCCACTGCAAATTCTACTCTTAGTATGGCCCTTGCCACCAAGTGCCCAGAGCTCCTACCCGGCCAGTGACCTCTGAGGTGACAGGCTGGGCAACAGCTCAGCCTCCTTCCACTCACCGCCCCCTTCACCTGCATCCTCCCCAGAGAGCCTGAGAATGGATGAAAGTTATTCTGGCCTTCCAGACTTGACGATTTAATGAATTTTGACACCCTGGTCTAGGTGATCCAGAAAGGTGATCCATGGTAGTGCTCGGATGAAGGTACCTGCAACACGGATGTATCTTTCCGTAACACACCTGGTATTTTGTGGTGGTTTGTTTGTTTATTTGTTTTTTCAGTATGGGACAATGGTGGCGCTCATCCTCCTTCTGACTTAACTATTTCAGATTTTGTTTCTCCAATTGTATTTGCTTTTAGCGTCAGTGAATGAAAACCATGAAATATACATGAAGGATTCTATGTCTGCTGCAGAGGTTGGTACTGGCCAGTACGCCACAACAAAGGGCATCTCTCAGACCAACTTGATCACCACTGTGACTCCAGAGAAAAAGGCCGAGGAGGAGCGGGACGAGGAGGACAACAGGAGGAAGAAGGCCGAGGAAGCCACACCTGTCGCTGCAGTCCGGCCGGAGGGAAAGGTATAGCCCCCAGGCTGCCTCCCGGAGCTCGCTCCAGCTTCTAAAGAGCTTCTCAGTATTCCGAGGATGAAAGCCAGGGATGTGTTGAGGCGTAGGGTAGTTCATACTTCAGCACCGGTCACATATGTGTGTCCATTTTTAAAATATTCCTGTTTCAACATTTTTTCTCTGCAAGTTTCTTAACTTTGGGAAATTTTATTTTGAGAACTGATGTGCTATTTAAGACTTTCAACAACTGTCCTGTACAGATATCTGAAAAATACTCTAGGTGGCATATTGGCGCTTGTCTGTCTGGGCTCGCGTATCAGAACTGTCATTTTATTAATGCTTGCCTGTAGCAGAACTGTCGCTAACCCCGCTTTGTTTCTGGCCCCATTCTCCTACCCAAGTACAGCACATTTTTCTAGATACGCAGTGATCCTCTTGCCATGCTTTTGACTACAAGGACACAGAATGAGCATAGCCTTTGTATTCATATACTGATTCCTGTCTTAGTTTTATACTTGTCACCTAATAGCAAAGTCGTGAGTGGGCATGTTTTTGAAAATGGATTTAAGGCCAAGAGATTGCAACAGAAAACCAAAAGTGAATTTCTCCAAGTGTTTTATTCATTTCCCTTTGTGACAGTATTTCACCCAAAATTAAATTTTAAAAATTTTTCTGAAAGGCAGAATGGCAGAAAGGGAGAGAGGGAGAGAGGGAAAGAGAGAGAGAGAGAGAGGGAGGGGAACATCTTCAATCCTCTGGTCCAATCCCCAAATGCCTGCCACAGCCCAGGGTAGACGAGGCTGCAGCCAGGAGCCAGAACTTCCTCTGGGTCTTCTGTGGGTGGCAAGGCCTCAGGTATGTGGACCATCATCTGTTGCCTAGCAGCAGGAAACTGGATCTGAAGCAAAGGAGCTGGGGATTGAACCAGGCACTCCAATAGGGGCTGCACGTGTCCCAGGCAGTGGCATAGCCCACTGCACCCCAACACCTGCCCCTAAACTTTTTTTATCTCTGTTTATTTTATTGTTATCTCTGCTGACCCAGCACTGTTAAGCAACTATTTAGAAAAATAATTTAAAAGTCAAAAAACACGCTGGGAGGTGTATACCTCATCATAACAGCAAAACAGAGTGGCTCCTAGAATGTACAAGGCAGAGTAGGGGAAGTAGAAAAATAGAAAGGTTATCCTGAGTACTTTGGGTTCAGCAGTGCTATTTTGTGCAAGAGCTCTTCCAATAGAGATGTATGTGATAGAGAATCACCTCCTGGGACTCCATAGAAAAATATTCCCATTGACAAAGAGTTTAGAAGCGATATCTTGGGGCAGATGCTGTGCCACAGAGGGTTAAGCCAACACTTGGGACTCCTGCATCCCATGTGGAAATGCCAGTTCAAGTCCTGGCTCCTCTGCTTCTGATCTAGCTTCTGCTAATGCATCCCAGGAGGCGGCAGGTGACGACTCGAGTGTTTGGGTCCCTGCTACCCATGGATCTTGGCTTTGTCTGGCCCAGCAGTTGTCACAGGCATTTGGGGACTGAACTAGCAGATCCTAGTTTTTCTGTCTCTCTTTCCCCATTTCCCACCCCAACCCCTGCCATTCTCTCTTGTTCTGACTTTTAAATGGATGAAAATAAATAAAAATAAACATTGAAAAGGAACGTCTTAATGGATAGATCACAAAGGAATAATTTCTGTAGTGGTTAGAATATTCTAAATGACCCAATCCATCATCTTTTGGGGATGAGGGGATTAAGAACATTAATTTGTCAAACAAAAATTTAGCAGAGGATGGGAAATGAAGGCACGGATAGTCGAATCACTTCTGTTAAAATGTGTGCTGTTCTGACTTTTTTTTTTTTTTTCACTCTTCCTGCCAATTAAATGGGACATTGCAAAGAAGATAATACTCCCAGAAAGCAAATATGTGGTTCTTATACTTAGGGTGTTGAAAAATTTCGTGAGCTCACCAGCACCGGTGTGAGAGTCATTATAGAGCTGTCAGTGTGAGTCAAAGGCACGTAAAAGTAAATGGTTTTAGTTTGCTCCCAAAACAGGTCCAGACTGGCTCACTTTATTTGATTTTAAAAGGCTACCAATTTGTTGTTATACTGTGCAGTACTAAGCTGTAGTCACTTTGTGCTATGGAACCATAAAAAGCCAAATAAACCACTATCCTCATAGTCTGCATCTCTGAAGAACAGCGATAATGAAGGCTCAGGAGGGCGCTGGCAGAAAGTGGTGTTTAAGAGGTGCTGTCTATGCAAAGGGACTTGAAATGGTTCATAGAAAATGGAATTAAGAATGGAGGAGTCGGGGCTGGCACTGTGGCATAGTGGGTGAAGCCACTGCCTTCGACAGCAGCATCCCATATGGGAACTGGTTCATGTCCTGGCTGCTCCACTTCCTATTTAGCTCTCTGCTAAAGGCCTGGGAAAGGCAGCAGAGGATGGGCCAAGTATTTGGATCCCTACACACATGTGGGAGACCCAGAGGGGACTCCTGGCTCCTGGCTTTGGCCTGGCACAGCCCAGGCTGTTACAACCATCTGGGGAGTGAACCAGCGGATGGAAGGTCCTTCTCTCTCTCTCTTTGACTCTCTTATCTGTAACTCTGACTTTCAAAATAAATAACTCTTTAAGAGGTTGAGGGGTGGGTTTTTGGCATAGTAGGAAAGATACTCTTTGGAATCCTGCATCCCATATTGGGGTGCCTGGGTTCAAAGTCCTGGCTCAGTTCCTAGTTCCGGCTCCCTACTAAAGCACACCCCAGGAGGCAGCAGGTGATGATGGCTCAAGTTCTTGGGTCCCTGTTACACATGTGGGAGACCTGGATTGAATTCCTGGCTCCAGCCTGACTTACCCCTGGGCATTAAGGGTATTTAGGAAGTAGATCCGTGAATAGGAGTACACTGCCTCTTGTGTGTGTAAACTTCTCTGCCTTTCTAATAGAAAAAAATAATTTTAATGTCTGTGTTAGTACAAAAAGAATTTTAAATCTATGCATAATTTTTCATGATATTCATTTCCACGAACTTTTTGAAGTACTGTCAAATTCCCCATTGTAAAGTTGTCTTTTAAAACCCTCTTTAATAGGCAACATGAAAGATTAAACCTTAATTTTATTCATCTCCATCTTCAAAAAAGGAACATAGATAGTACTTACATTTTAACCAAAGGAAAATATGTTACTGACAAAGTTCTTAGAAGACCCGGCCTGGATTGCTGGAAGAGGCGGGTGTCTCCCCCTGGTGATGCCCCAAGCACACGGTGCTGCTCTCTGCTGGAGGACTGTTGTCTTCTTGCAGAACGTAGCTTGTTAATTCTGTGTCATTCCTGGCTGAATGAGATTCATGCAGGCTCCTGTTTAAAATGCACAACTTTATTTCAAATGTGCATGTTTGGGAGTGACTTATGGTCAAAAGAGATACTTCTAATGCTAATAAAGCCATGATATAATTTTATTTGTGCATTTTCTTTCCTTCTGTTGCTATATTTACCACCTCTTTCCAAGTCAGAATTGGATAAACAACCACCACCACCACCACCCCCCAGCCCCAAGGAGCCTGGATAATTTCCATGCTATCAGGTCACTAGGCAAAACACACACACACATAGAAACTGTAGCTCTTTAAAAAACATATTCATTTATTCACTTATTTGAAAGGCAGAGAAACAGAGAGGGGGACAGAGGAAGAAATCTTCCATCTGCTGGTTCACTCCCTAAATGTTCAGAACAGCCAGAGCTTGGCCAGGCTGAAGCCAGGAACTCCATCTGGGTTCCCAAACATGGGTAACAAGGGCCCAAGTACTTGGTCCATCATCTGTTGCTTCCCTGGGAGCATTAGCAGGGAGCTGGATTGGAAAGCAGAGCACCAGGATTCAAACATGGGATGCCCACTTTGCAAGCAGCAGCTTAACCCGCTGAGCCACAATGCCGACCTCAGAATGTAGCATTTATCTTCAGGTGCGGGTGCCTTGGCCTTGTACCCTGCCAGGCTGTGACAGCTTCCGCATCTGCACAGGCCTTGCTTGCAATGAACTTGCTTTCCTTCTTCCCTTTGTTGCCTAGCCGCTGCCTTGCCACCTATCTGCAGAGGAAACTGGCTTTGGTCAGTGAGGTGTACAGGATGCAGAATAAATGGGAACTGGACCTCTTTGCCCCCCAAAGACTTGTAGTAGGCAGCATGTAGTAGGCACTTTTGTAGAAATGCCTGTTTCTACCGTTGTATTAAGGACTCAAATCAAAGGTATGACTGTGCCCTTTATCTGCTAAGAAAAACCAGAAGGCTGGGAAATTGTATCTTTCTATTATTTATGGACCACAAAAATAGAAAGAAAACACAAACCATGTTACAAGACAGCCCTTTCTTTTTGCTAGTCAGCTTGTTAAAACCATTTATTTGTGTTTTTCTTTTCATTTATTCTGCTTTGGTCCTAGAGAAAGGAGACAAAATAGAAAGGTTTTCAGAGGAGCCTCCATTCATTGAGGGGGTCAGAGTCTCTGAGATGCTCCTTGTTGAGTCTCCTGGTGATGAGTTCTTATCAGATAAGAATGGCGCCAGAAACCTCTTGTTTTGTGAAAACCACCTGTTTTGGATGTAGTTAATTAAACAAGGGAAGGAGTAATGCTGGAGATTATAAATAATAATAATAATAATAAAATTTGTATTGGATTTCATTTTCATTTTTAAGTCAGCTCAACTATAATACTACATCTGCTACTTCTAGATCAGGACAAAGTTATTGAAAGTCTTGACTTTAATCCTTTAAAGTCCCAAGTTTTCCATTCTGCAAAAATTTATTTCAGTGTTACTGTAACTGGTATATTTATTGCTCAGTCTAAATCTCTGTTAGTGTCTTATATAGAATGATAGGACATATCTAAGTTATCAGAATTGTATTTGTCCTCAAAGTTCTAAAACTTTCTCAAGTTGTTGGCCTAAAATGAAAATTTTTTTTGATTGTGTAAAATTTTAGACTTTGGGATTTCCCACAAATACCTTCAGTTCTGACTTAAAAAAAAAAAAAATCCCACCTTGTATGTGATGGTCCTGTGGGAGAACCGTAGCTGTTCACGATGAGGTTGGCATGCAGCTTGAATACTTGACAATTCATGAGCAACCCTAGTGCTTAAGTTCTTGTTTTACAATTTATATTGATTCCCATAAGAAAATTAACTAATTGCAGTTTTCTTTTTGTCCTTTTGCACCTCTGTTTGCTGCTTCCTGTCTCTCTCTGTCTCTTTCACATCAGTCACCTGGGCTTGGCACCGACTCATGTCCCCTGTCACCCCCATCAGCCCATCATACCCCTGCATCCTCTACAGAGCTGCGTCGGAGGTGTAAGGAGAAGGAGCACGCACTGCCAGGTTGCGAGGCGCCCAAAGCCCAGCACATGCGTGGAGAGCCCACCTTGGACCCTGATGGCCAAGGGAAGGCTTACGTGGGGGATCAAGATGTGGCTTTCAGCTGCAGACAGCAAACTGGCAAAGGGACCACCCTGTTCTCCTTCTCCTTGCAGCTCCCCGAGTCATTCCCCTCTCTCCTCGATGATGACGGCTACCTCTCTTTCCCCAACCTCTCTGAAACCAACCTCCTGCCCCAGAGCCTGCAGCATTACCTCCCCATCCGCTCCCCGTCCCTCGTGCCCTGTTTCCTCTTCATCTTTTTCTTCCTGGTCTCCGCCTCCTTCTCAGTGCCATATGCCCTCACTCTCTCCTTCCCTCTGGCTCTGTGCCTCTGCTACCTGGAGCCCAAGGCGGCCTCCTTGAGCGCCTCCCTAGACAATGACCCGAGTGACAGTTCAGAGGAAGAGGTGTGTACCTCGGCATAGAACACACTTCCCCTGCGTGTTCCGTGCTTCAGTCCGACACAGTGGTAGCCGGCTGCTGCGATACTGGTCCTACTTTCAGAGCCTCATTTATTGTCTGTGCCGATCCGTTGAGGTTTCTTTTGTGTGTTGGGGAGTCCAACCCGGGCCCCAGGGTTAGGCACAACACCATGTGGCCATATCGCTGAGTTCATTTAGGGGTAAAGGACTCAGCCGGAAGTCAATGTTAAAGAACCCATTAGCATTGTAAAAGATCAGGGCTAAATTGCAGGTTCTATGCAGTTATCATGTGACAAAGTAAATCACACCCAAGACACATGAATAACTTTGAACTGAAATGATAGCCAGGGAGATTTGGGAGGGAGCACCCCAAGGGCTGTGTCATCATTATCTGGGTAGTGTTCCAAAATTACAGCTCTAGGATCCGGGAATGCCCCACCCGTTGCCAGTCTGTCCCTGTTACTCACAGAGCTGTGTCAGATGCCCTGGTTCAGAACGAGTGTCCCACGGGATTTAAAACACCCGAATGATGTCTGTTGTTGGTAGGTCCAGAAACAGAACCAGGGAAAGCTGCATGCAGTGAGCAGGGTTCAAACCCAATCAGGACAGGACCTAATGCAGGCTTCCCTACATTATAGAACCAGGCTGGGATCTCATCAGTGCTAGCACTGGCGTCGCCTGTGTCAGAGGCAGCCCTTCTTGCAGCTCCAGCACATGCCAAACTGTGTCCTCATTTTGAAATACAGTGTGGTGTGGTCAGGGAAGTTGGCGGCCGCTGTGGCTCCCAGCCAGGCCTGTACTTGGTGAGAAGGAGCCTCAGCTTCTAGCCTCCATCCACCCTCAAGGGCTCGCCACCTGCCAGTCTCCCACCTCTCATCCCAGCTATTGGGTGAGCTGAACTTGGAGCCGGTAGTTTTTCCTCCTAATCGTTCTTTTCCCACCCCTGAGCATCCCAGCAGTTTCCTTTCCTCCAACCTTCAAATAGATCACAGGCAAAAGAATAGAAGCTGCTCCCAGCCGTGCGGCTGCCATGTCCTTGCCCACCTGCCCTCTCCCGGGGCCGTCTGGCCCTCCTGTTGCCATAGAAACAAGGGCTTTTGTGGCAAGAGACAAGCCAAATAACTTCTACCATTTAAAAAAAAATCACAAGTTAAGGCAGCACTAAAAAAGGAAAGGGAGCTGGTTCAGCTCTGTGCTGGAAGGCTGTCCTCTGAGCAGTACCTGTGAGTGTGCAGCCTCATGAGGGTGCCTGAGCTTCTGTACTTAGTGGTGTCATGGCCATTTCTTTGCAACAGAAGGGGGAAATGTGAACGGTCTTACAGGAGTTTTAGCTGAAAGTCTAAGCTTTTCAACTTAACATTGCAGAAAAATCCTTTTCCAGGTTTTTGAATTATATATGACTATATATATATACACACACACACACACACACATATATATTAGCTCCAACACACACATACACCCCTACACACCCCTAGGAAATATTTTGAGAACGGATTTAAATCCTAGACTTTACTATCACTGCTTCACACTCAGCTATATTACTAACTAATGTAGGACCAGAACATACCACATTAGATAATACTAGAACACAATATTATCTACAAAGACTCCTTAGAGTATCGGCCAGTCTCCAAGCTGGAGATACACTTTTCCTTTAGCAGTGACGTTAGTCATCAGGTTAACAAAGCAGAGAAGGTTGCTATGGTAAGCTTTTCGAAATTCTCAGTAACTGTTTGAACTTTTCTGTAGCAAACCACACAGATCTTGTGCCTAATCCAGGGTATACATGTTGTTGTAAACAGTGCATGAGAATTGATGTTCAACTTGGGCATGTCTGCATTACATCGGCAAAACAAATCACAGCAGTCCGTGTTGCAAGTGCGGGAGTCAGGAGCACTGCCCGATTCTCACTGTGCCCCTCGCCGCAAACCTGGGAAACAGCGACCCTGCTGTGAGCCCGCGGCTGGGTCAGCCTCCTGTCCAGCCTCCGCTGGCCCGTTACAGCTCTCCCCTGCCCGCAGACTTCGTGTCTGGCCATCTGCTCAGTGTCCACTGTCAACCCCAGGTGTTAAAAAGCTGCGCATTCCAGGTCAGCCTGAGCGAGGGAATTATCTAGGTCATTGAGTTTAAAAAAAAAAAAAATGCTATTTGCTTACATGGCCTGTTACATTCTCTGGGCCTCAAGTACTTTGGCACTTAAACTGGGTGACTTCTTAAACATAGTTCAGCTGTGTCACTTTCATTTTGTGAAATCGCTGATGATTATAATTCTGTTTAAATATTCTATCACTGCTTACAGTTTTCACCCGTTAGAGTGGTGTAATTAGTTCCAGCCTTCCTCAAAAGGAAAACCCTGTAGAAAAAAGCTTACTAATGTCAAACTATAAAGTTGTTGGGCAACCATTCTTTTGTTTTCAGAAGGGGCAGAATGTCAGATACCAGGAATCATAAGATGAGCATCTCTCACTATACCCTAGAATATAATTCCGTGTGAATTTCTGAGTGGTTTTTTGATAACACTGAAAAATGGAGACAAACTCAGATCTGGAGGGAAAAAATAGTTGATCAGCTGATTTATCACATTTCAAATTGTGTAGACATCGTTCATGATGTACTGTACATGTGCAATTTTGTGTAGCTACAGTAGGTGACATAGGTAACGGTTGTTAGGAAAGCTTAAAACCTGTGTTTTCAGCTTTTATTACTTCATTTATTGACTCTTGATCAGACACCATGCTGTTAACTGATCAGACTCTCTCAATAGGAATCTAAGGAAATTAAGATACAGCCTGAGCTATTAGATTCTATCTAGGAAAACAGTAGTAATAATAATGTCATATTAATATCTAGATCTCACAGTGTTATATGATGATTGATGTTACATCAGATGCAACAGTTATTCCGTAATTCAGCTCTGTGCACGTCAGCCATTATATGGAGCACTTAGTATCTGCTGCCTGATGGGTTGGGGCTCTTCCTTTCCCCACCTTCCAAGAAGAAAACTGTGATGAAAATAGCAAACATGTCCAGTGTGCAGTCTGGAGCAGCCTGGATTTGGGCTCCTGTCAGTCTTCACTGTGATGCACTCTAACGCTTGCGAATGTTACTGATGTCCATTTGGAAGCCATGAGGGAAATAATGGAAAGAGAAATTCTTCCAAGTACTTTAAAAGTGTGTGGCACAACTCATTACCAAACTCAGCGCAGGTCATTCTTATTTGTTCTTGAATGTCTAAGATCTCTGATTCCATACACTTGAACAGTGAGTGACCTGTCTTGCTGATTCGCACTAGGCTGTCAGTCGGTAGGGCTGGGCTAAGACCATAGCCATGATCGCGCTTATAAGAAAACTCACAGCCACCCCATGCCCCAGTTGTCAACCAAGGTGGCCCATTCGTGACACTGTGCCTACGACACACTCTTCATCAGCCTCCTGGAGTAAAAATGCCATCCTCGTGCACACACCACTCCTTTTTTTTTTTTTTTTTAATGAATCTCTAAAAAGACTTAGTGCCAAGAAATCACCCTGGCCAGAGTTATGTCAGTGAAGATTGCACTGTCCCTATTGTGCCTTGTTAGTGGGAATGAGAGGTGATTTTCAGAGGCAGGCTCATGGAGAACCCCCAGTTCTGATTTTTTTTACCAAAATATTAACCCCCAATCGTTGATCGATGGAATCTTATTAATATTCATGGAGGGAAAGTCAGTCAATATTAGGGCATCTGGATTATGTCCCAATTTCAATGCCCAGGGCTCTACTCAAAAGAAAATTGTTTTTATTTTAAATGATAAACCTCTATGAAACAGATTATAGGCCAATCCTGAAATTCCCATTCTAATTCCTGAAAACCTAGACTCTATCAGATGCTGTGCTTTGTTTTATTTGTTTCCAAGTAGATGTCTCTCTTTCTCTTTATTGTTTATTTGAATGGTCCTTTTGAAACAAGGTGTTTAAATATGTGCTTTGATAAACCTCTTTGTGTTGGAGGGTGGGGGCCAAATAAACAACACCTGGTCTTTAAAAGTCTATCTGTTAGCAGTGCTACTTGCAGTGGAGTTCCATGTATCATTACAAAAAACATATGCCTGTGAGTCACTGGCATGTGCTTTTTATAATTGATAGGTAATGCAGACAGCCTGATGTTCATCAGTGGATGTAAATTCTCCCAGTGGTATAAATGAGGGGCTGAAAGTCCAGTGACTGTTTACAGTAGCTTTGATGTTAATTTTCATTTACCTTTCAGATGTGACATTTTACTAGAATAGAAAAATACACACATCGATTTTATTTGCATTAAGCATTTTTAGGAGAGCTGTACTGGGGTTTTAGTGACAAGAGTGGGGGGGAGGGGATGACAAATTGGTTTTCTGGGACCTAGGAGCAGGCCGGCCAGCGCGGCCCATGCAGGCCCTGCAGCCCTGCAGGTGGTGCGTGCCTCGGGTCTTCCTCGGAGTGGGCTCTGTCGATGACACCTAGCTCTGCTCTTCTCTCGCTTTGGCTTGCCCCTGCATTCTTGTGGGAAGGTAGAGTGCTACAGGTCCCTGAGAAAGAATGGGAACGGTTTGACTTGTGCCATACCCTATTTGACCAGCTTGGTTTATTTTCTGTCCCTGCCTTCTTCCCGGGATCTGATCACTTGTGTGGTCACCAGACTGACAGTGAGCGGACAGACACGGCAGCCGACGGGGAAACCACTGCCACCGAGGTTGGTATGCTGAGGGTGGCCTCGCGGGGTGTTCGGCGTGTAAGGACCAGGCATAGGAGCTGTGTGGTGGAGATGCATTCTGATCTCAACAGTGGGAGTTCAGTGTGTTTTTATTGTTAGACCAGCGGTTCTCAAGCTCTGGCACCCATCAGTCAGAATCACCTGGAAGTTCTCCAGAATCTATATTTCTACTAAGTTCCCAGGCAGATGCATTGACTCTGCTAATGTTGGAATCACCTGTTGAGGGCCACTTGCCTAAACTGTAAACAAACAAACAAAAAAACAAAAAAAACAGTATCCTCTTATCTCAAATGAGAGGCTATTTGTTTGATAGCTATGATGAGTGGGAAGAAGGGTCACAATGAATTTAATTAACGTATTGCCTGGATACAGATCTACAAGTATTTTAAAATCCCAAATGGTCAACTTGTTAAAAGAATACTTTCATAACTCATTTTGGTAGCCTTTGGCTATAGATAAGGATAACTCGTAACAAGTGAATTCTATAAGGAAAAGAAAATTAGCAAATTACTGTTTGTATTTTTATTGAAGAGAAATGCAGTCACATTGAGCAGTGACAGGAGATAGACTATGCTGTCGTTTCTTCTTTCCTCATTCTTTACAGTACATTAAATATGTGTGTGTGTGTGTGTGTGTGTGTGTGTGTGTGTGTGTAACTCAGGCTGCTTCCCAAAGCTTTCCTACAAGCAAGTAATTAAAATTTCTGGAAAACAGGGTTTTCTCTATAGTGACAGAAATCAAGATGTTCATTTCTCAAAGTGTTAGCAGAATTGAGTTTTTCCTTTGTGATATTTACTTTGGGTTATACATTATCTTTCATGTCATCCAATCACAACATGTTCTGGTTTAGCATTTGGGAAGTACTAAAAATGTTAAGTGGTACTTGTAGATCACTTAACTGTAACCTAATGTCTTCAGAGCAAAGATTACATACTGGCTTTTTTTTTTCCTATGATATGCCAGTGTTCTATATTCAAAGCTTAAAAATCATAATTTTGTGATGTCAGTGTTATCAAACTATTATCCAAATTGTTTTAAGCAACTATATAAATCTATTACATGTTAATAACTTTCTATGCCAAATATCACAAAAATACACCTGGAGTTTATAGTGAGTACAAGTTAATATATTCAATAAATTTCACTGGAATCCTAATGTGTGGTTTAAATGAAAAATGTTTTAATAGTACTTTGACTTAAAATTTACTATGTAACATTTAAAACATGTAAGCAACTACATGAGCCATCAGATTGTGAGGCTTAGTGGCCCTCACAGACCCATAGGAATGAGCGTGTTTCTCGGAGCAGTAAGCTCATGTGTGCTGTCACACTGTTGCAACGCTCCCCTCCCTCTGAGGTGACCAGCGCATGAGTGGTACAGCTTGGGGTATACAGAATAGACGGTCTTGTTCCCACTGACAGTCAAGAAAATGCACCCCAGGGGACTCTGTGATTTAAGGCCCCTGGCTTAGACAGGACCTGTTGCTCACCCCTACTTTCACTCTGGGCCTCTTCTTGGCTCCATAGAGGCATAAAGCCAGCCACGGTGAGAAGTGCAGTTTCACCACTGCATGCATGTGTGGCTTGCCCTGCTTACCCAGTTACCGGCACTAATAAAAGCAACCCAATGATTAGACAGCTCCTTGAAATTAGAAAACTCAGGACAATGAATTTGGCTTTGGGATCAATATTCATTTCTCAAAAATTCAAAAATTGTCCTGTCTACATTTTAAAGAAAATGATGGCATGGTTGATTCTATTTAGTGTTTTTTTTAACTTCCTTGCTTTTCATGTGTTAGTCTTCTTCCCTCCCAAATTTATTGTTAAGTGTATAGACTCAAGAAAATCAAGGCCTCGACACTGAACTCGTTGAGCCTCAGTTCTCTGGTCTGTAAGCCGAGGATCATAATAGTTGATCTCGCAGGATTATTGTGAGCATTCTTACCCTGCAGAGGAGCCCTCATTATTGTGTGGTCATCGTCACCCTTGTCAACTGCAGTTTTAATCTGGCTCCCTGGGGTTCCTGACCCATTTTTAGAATTCATCAAAGACAGCGTGACAAGCCCTTGCTGGGGCCATCCCAAGCACGGGCATCTGTTCATCACAATGCCAAAGGCCCACTGAACGAGGATTGGTTGGCTCGTGTATTCTCACTCAGCCACCTCCTTTGTGTGTGAGAATGTGTGGTTTGTGAGTAACGATGTGCACATTTAACCCTGCACAAGGATGCCATTGCTAGTGCCCGCCTTCAGCAGATTTATAGAGGCCATAGGTCTTCGGTCTTAGAGTAAATTGCATGGTAAGACTTTATCTCCCGCTCTTTCCTGATGCTGGCAGTCGGACCAGGAGGAAGATGCAGAGCTCAAGGCACAGGTAGAAAATTAAAAACAAAACCAAAACCAAACCCGGTGTGTAAGAGTCATTGTTTGTCTCCAGTGTTCAGATCTTGCAGCATGCTCCGTAGCTGTTACCATGCTGTTGGTGCCGTGTGTAGGGTGGCGTCTGTTCCCTTGACTACTGAATCCCTTACCTTTCCCTTTCTTCTCCACTTTTTTCAGAATAGTCTGATTAAGCGAATAAAGGGTGAAAATGTGTATGTCAAACATAGTAATCTTATGTTAGAGGTTGGTATTGGTATATACCAGTGCATGTCCTGTGTGTGGTGTTTTCCGTTTAGTGACATACCTGTGGGCTTGTACCATGATGCATGAACTGTGTGCTCACCTGCTCATATGTGGATGACTTCTCTGATTCCTTGTTCTCTCCTAGATATAGAACCCTTCTCCTGTGTGTGTATTTATTTTCATTCTCTCTGGCTACATGTGAATTGTACTCTTTACCTTTTAAAATCCTTTTGATTTTCATGCTTGTGTGAACTAGATTTTCTCTTGCTCCTTTCCGTGGAAATATCACATTTTCACCAGAGTGTTTGTGGTAGTGTCATGAGCCCTGATCAGAAGTCTGTTTTATTTTGACTACTAATGAGGTTGACATTATTTTGAAAGAAGAAAAAGAGCTGAAAGCAAAGCAAATGTAAAGCATTGACTGTTGAATTCTTTATGTCCTGAACATAGGAGCTAGATAAAACTCAAGACGAACTGATGAAACATCAAACCAACATTAGTGAGCTGAAAAGAACTTTCCTAGAAACCTCAACAGACACTGCCGTAACCAATGAGTGGGAAAAGAGACTCTCCACCTCCCCAGTGCGCCTGGCCGCCAGGCAGGAGGACGCACCCATGATCGAACCGCTTGTCCCTGAAGAGGTCAGTGTCCCCACTTTGGGCTGGAATTGTCTTATGTTCACTAGAGTCGCTTCTCTGCCGGCTGTGGGACGGGGAGGGGATTTGGTGAACTGTGGAGGAGAGAATCTCACCTCTTGCCTGTGTCTAACCTGAGCTGAGATGCTCAGTGCTCCCCAGGAAAGATGCCAAGTAAACTGAGCCGGTGGCCGAGGAGCAAGCAGTGGCATCCGATGGTGCTTCAGATCAGGGAGCCCCGGGGACACCAGAGTCCATGCGCCAGCTGGCTTTGACCATAGTCCTAGATGGGACAGCTGGGAGACACAGACAGGATCTTAGCAAGTCGTCACTGTTACCGGAGAAATTGCAGGGTTCTTGTCTTCCCGCAAGAAAGAATTCAGGCGTGAGACAGAGAGTAGTGGGAGGTAAAATAGCAAGGTTTATTAGGGAAGGGACATCTGTAAGGGTGGATGGGCACCCCTCCAGACAGAGCCTGAGAGACTGGGGTGGGGAGGGAGGAGCAAGGTTACATGATTGAGTAGAGAGATTACACCGGACCAGGCCAGGCGGCGGCTCAGCAGAGAGGCAGAGGGCTGAGCACGCAGTCTGGTTGAGGCCGGGGGTTTTTAAGGAGATGGGTCTTTGTCTTCACACATCTCCTCCTGAAACAACGGATTTTATGACTGTAAGCTCCTATCTGAGTTTTTCCTTGAAGGTATCAGACAGGAGGAAGCCTAGCTGGCACCGTCCTGGGTTCAGAGGAAGGGTGAGCAGGACCCCCTAGAGAATGGGGATCGGAGCAGGGTGTTTGAAATGCAGACACTGGGCTGCATCTGGGAGATTGTGGAAGATTTGTCAGGCAGAAGGAGTGGGGATCTCCACCTGGTAGGTTATCAGGTAGAAGGGGGCAGGGCAGGATGGGAACACTGGGCTGCCCCTGAAGCATTATCGGGATAACTTTGAGATGTAGATGCATATGCTGGACGTAGAAGTCTTCTCCGGAGGCCTTTGTCACACACACATAAGCTCATACCTAACTTCCTGCCTAACAGTCACCTGTTCTGAATGCACTTCCTTCTGCTGCTGCGTTAGAAACACTTCCTGTGTGCATGTCTCTCGTCAGCTGCAAAGTGAGGCCTGTGGAGACTGGGTACTGGTTCAGTGGTGATCTGACATTGACAGCATCTCAGGACACATTTTACTCCGAGATACTAATGCCAGGCCTCTACAGGAGTGATGAGTGATTTTTGTGTGTAACTGGTTATTTTAATGCATTTGTAATCAGTTTTACTTGATTTTTTGAAAGGGCGAAGCAGGGCCCAGAACCTTTTTTAAGTATCATTCTTAGATCTAGGAGAGCACTCTTTTTTTTTTTTTTTTTTAAGGAATACAAATTTCATAAGGTACAACTTTTAAGAATATAGTAGGAGAACACTCTTTAAATGCAGCCAGAGTGGGTGAGAACCTAGCAGGTAGGACGTGAAAGCTCCCATTGTCTGGGACCCACAAATGGCTGCAGTGTTAATTTGACTGTTTCCTGTTAGGTATCATCTGGCTTTATCTGTCTTTCAAAAGGAGCCATAAAAAAGGCAGCCTTCTAGCCTGATATTGATTAATGTCCTTATCAGGTCCCCTCTGTACTGTGAGACAGTTGTCAAGGAAGGAACTAGAGGCAGAATAAAAAGCTAAAACTTAGGCCTTTAAGGGAGAAAAATCCTTTAAATAGCAGTCTACTTACAATGTATAAGTCCTTACTGGGGAATAAGAATCAAATTACACTCTTTGCTGATCATTTTCTCAGCCTCCTTTGAAATCTGTTTATCAAAAGTGACCAGAACACCCTGTATTCATGACAACTCCAGTCCCAGCTGGAAAGGGGAGAGCAAATATCTGTGTGAATTAGTATGAACAGGGCCCTTTAATAAGCAGAATAAATGAAAAGTACACAATCAAAGCATTCCTATACCATTTAACACCATTTCAAATTCAAATTGCTTGTATTTCTAGGGACCAACATTTGACATTCAGATTAAGTATAATATACCTTGCATTATTAAGAATATCATTTATCAGCCATGCTCTCAAAAATTTTATTGTAATTGGTCAAGTTTGTCTTAACCCTATTTTTGTTATCTCTTTTGGAAATAACACACCAGCTCAGAAGATGTCAGATATGGAACTAAGTTACAAAAACACAAAATAAATAGACTTTAAAAAATAAAAACACACACCCAAAAAGCCAATCCTCTCTTCCCATGCTGTTGTTTAAGAAAATAGTAGCTGGTGGCCACTTGGAATGATAATTTGAGCAATAGCTTAGAGAAGTTAAGGGGTGATACTAATGAACCAGAGAACTTTAAAAGTCTGGGCCATTAGACTAACAATACTTTTAATTCGAATTCAATCCTGAATCTTAGAAAATGACATTGGATGCACCCAGGAGCACTAATAATTTAAGGAGGTGATACATTGACTACTCTGAATTTTCCCCAAATGTTAATGTATTTTCCAGGAAAACTGGAGAAGGCCAAGGAAGGAATTTTTTCCGCCTGATTAAAGGATAGAAGGAAAATGTCCTCTACAGAAGAACAGTGCACTTTGGTTGTACAAACTGGCGAGACCAATGGCTGTCTTAGTGCTTCCATGTCTCGGCCAAGTGGTCACACAGTTCCGCAGTGCTCCATTGCCACTGTACACAGAAGAAACGACAGGGAGAGCATGGCTGGGTATAAAGACAAACTTCATGAAAACACAGCCAGTTAACCTTGGTTGTCAAAGGTGCTCTGAAAAAACCAGCTATAAGGAACTTTTAAGTCCAGAGGAAGAGCGATCTCTCGAGGTGGCCAGTGCTCTGCTTCCCCAGGCAGGCCAGGCAGAGGGGTCCGTCTAGTCCCTTCTCTCCTCCATGACCTCCTGGTCATCAGTGACGTCCAAGTTTGTAATCCAGTTGAGGACCCTGAAGATAGCCTTAAGAAGAATCTAGAATTCTTATGCTCTAAATTATTGCCGGTTCCTATGTGAAAAATCATGGCTTCTGTCACTTGTTTTCTGAAGAGCACAAAAAAACATCATATCCTCCTCCCAGCTATGCACATATAAGGGTACGTCAAGAAGTTCATGGAAAATGGAGTTAAACAATAATGTACATTTTCCATGAACTTTCTGAAGCCCTCTTGTACATAGCATATTGATTTACAAGCACATAACTGAAGATTTTATTTTGAAGAGGAGGCATTTCTCAAAGCAAATTATTAATTTGATATCACTGTGTTTATATGGCCCACTTTAATTACACAGTAATCAACCAGTTTAGAAAGAGGTTCAGTTATTTGTTAATAGAAATATTTAATTTTTTAAATTGATATCCCAAGTAAAGTAGTAATATTTGTGTCATAATTGGGAAGAAACTTAGATCCAATGACCCAAGTCTTACAATCCCAAGCTTAGTTGGTTTTGTTTTTTTTTTCCTCACTAAATCTTTGATAAAATTATATTTTGGGGGAAAAAATCTAGTGACTTTTGATTTTAATGTAAACATATTTTCATTATTGTACCCATAGTGGTTGAATTCTAAGTAATATTATTTCTATAAAATGTGAACAGTTTATGAACAATTAGAAGAAAATTAAAGTTAGAAATACATATAATGACCTAATAATGATGATTATATTGTAAGAATTTTATGTTTGCTATGTAAAATGGGGATTTGATTGCCAGTGGTTACAAGTTTCAAATGTTTAAGTTAATATCAAACAAATAACAAGGATGCCTCAGGGCAGCAGATAATATCAAATCATTAATTTTGGGAAAGAGACAAATAAACCCATATACAGCGCCTGGCAGACATGGGAAGGACTGGTGTACGGTGTGTGCGAGATGCCAGGTGAGTCCTCTGCCCAGTCATTTCCCATGAAGGCCTTTCCCACCAAGGCCAGGTCAAAGCTAGAAATGTGTTCCTTCATGGTTACTTGAATACCTAAAGGTTCTAAATCACAAAACACAACACCCATTAGTGCCTATACAGCACCAGTATTGTCGTCTTTTTTAAATGAACAGTAGAGTGATTATACAGTAATTTCTTGGGCTAGGTGCTTAGCACAGTCAATTCTCGTTATCTCATTGGATTCTCTGTTTGAAATTTCAGCTACATCCCAAGATGCATTTGTAGAAACCCGTCATCACATTAGAGCGAATGACACCTTTGTGAATTTTGCATATCAGAATAAGGCCATGTTTCCTGAACATGTATAGAGATGAATGTTTAAGTAATTGTCTTAGCATTCATTTTCTGTTCTGTAATAAAATACCTGAAGCTGGGTACTGTGTAAATAAAGGAGATTTATCTAGCTTCTAGTTCATGAGGCTGAAAGTCCAAGCTTAGGCAGCCCCTGAGTGTGGACTCTGGTGAGGGCCTGCTGGGCTGCCTCACATCATGGTGGGTGGCATCATAGAGGGGTGTGAGCAGGAGCCATACATGGCCAGACAGAAATCTTAGCAGTTCAGGGGGCATTCTCACTTTCTTTGTAACAAATCACTCTTGTGAAAACTCCCTCCCTCCCATAAACTGGCATTAATCCCCTCTAAGGCAGTGCCCCCATGACCTCATCATCACCTCCCACTAGGCCCCTACCTCTTCGAGGTACCCCAGCCCTTAATACTGCCTCATTTGGGACCAAGGTTCCATCACATGAACCCTTGAGGGACAGACCAGGCCCAAACCATAGCAGTAACTCAAGGAAGTGGCCAGTACCTCTTTACCTGTCTGTTAGCTGAACCAACTGGTTAGGAGGTTGACCATAACCAGCATACAATCAGTTCTAAGACTCTATGCCCTTGTGTTACCTGTGTCTATTGTTAGACATACACAGTTCTGAATGTAGCCAGTTATAAGACACAGACATCTTTAAAATTATTTGGTTTCAGACAACAGGATAGGCTGAAAAAACCACTGTTTGGCTGCTGGTTTTTTGTTTTTTTTTTTTAACTTTTCTGTCTGAGGAATAATATTAAACTCAGTGATTATAATTAGAGTTCTAGCAGTATTATTCTGAAAAATACCTATAATTTTGACCTTTCGTTCCTGTTTCTCATTTCCATTTGAAAAAGAGGCTATGATTGAAAGTTTAAAAAAAATCTATATTTAATGATTCCACATGGTACATTTTATCTTTTCCGATACCTGCCTTCAAAATGCAGCAGGAGAGGGATTTTTTTTTTTCTCCTTTGAAAAGGACTTGTCTATCATTAGAAAGGATGACATGGGAATGAGGCCATCAAAATCCGTCAGTGGGCCCTGCAGGAGAACAGTCCAGATGTTCCATTACAACCTCTGGCAGGCAGATGATTAAATGTAGTGCTGGTGGATTTGTGGGCAAACAGGAATTTTAAAGAGTTCTCATAGAATTATGTTCACAATGATAAGGTTTATTTAAAGAATTCCGTTTTCCTGGAATGATTTTCCATGATTGTTTTATAGATTAATCTTCCAAACAAAACTTCCTGTCCCTACTCTGCATGTAACTGTGCAGAGATGGGCTTGGTGGCTAATGGATGACCATGTGGATTATGCCTACTTAATGCTAAAGAAAAAGTAGCTTAAAAGTAAAAAACCAGGAGTGCATGTTTGTAGCACAGCCTGTTAAGCTGCTACTAGGGAACCAGTCCTACCTGTACTTCTGGTCCAGCTCCTTGCTAATGTGCCTGGAAGGTAGCAGATGATGCCCCAAGTGCTTGGGTTCCTTCCTCCAACATAGGTGACCCAGATGGAGTTCCTGGTTCCTGGCTATAGTCTGGCTTAGCCATGGCTGATACAAGCATTTGGGGAGTGAACCGGAAAGTGGATGATTTCTGTCTTTCCATCTCTCTCTAGAACTCTGCTTTTCAACTAGATGAATAAATCTTTTAAAAAGTAAAAAACTAGTGCCTATCTTAAAATAGTTAATGTTTTGAAATGCTGTATGTTAAAGAAAAATGGGATTTGGTGTAGTTTCTTGCCAAAATATTTTGCAATTGGCTTTAAAAAGTATTCACTTAGATTGTTATAAAAGTTCAGATAAAGGCATAACTTTGAGTATTTTTTGTTTATTTGTGAGAAAGTAAATAAATCTAAGTATAACTTAGTTTATTGAAATTAGTCATTAATCCAATGACCTTGTGTGTACTTTACTCCTAACATGCAACACATAAATGGGGAATGCAATCACTCATCTGAAATATAAGTGAGAATTTAGTCCTAACGTAAATTTTTAAATTTTAACATTTCATTTTTTAAGCACTCATTTTTATGCTCTTACAGGTAGCTAACATAAAAACACTGTTCAGCTACCAAGAAGCCCTTTCTGTCACTCATATATGTTCTGTGTTTGTGGAAATGAGAAATGGTTGAGTCGTATAAATCTCCAAGTTTCAGGAAGGGATCTGTTGCCTTTGGAAATAATTATTGGAGACAGTTTCGGTCCATTTTGCAAATTAACAAATAATAATTTACTTCTTTAAAAGTTTGAATGAGTATCATGAGTATAGATTTTAATACAATAAAAGAACTCACTTCCTAACTTGCCTTTTTGGAAACTGTCTACTTCCTCTTCTCCAACCCAACCCCCTTTATTCAAACAGACCAAAGAAGAAAGAGAAATTTCTGAAAAAGTTATATTTTTGCAACAAGGAAGCTCTTCATTCCTTGAGTCTCAGGTAAAAATAAACATCAAGGACTTTGTAGAAGGAATTGCTGTTCAGACTTCAGTATTATTAAAATGTCTTTAGTTTTATTTTCCTGTTTAAATTTCTCTCATTTAAAAGTAAGGTGGGTCTATAAGTTTTGCTTCAATTCTAGGGAAAAGACAAAGGAATTTCCTTAGTATTTTCATTATTTGTAACATGTCACTTCCTTGTGCTTCTGTTAGGTGATTATATGTTGTCATTGAAGCACCATGATTGTACTTTTGTCTTAGTGAAACTTCACTGCCTGTTTTTACCCACAGTTGGTTTTTCTTTACTGTACTGTAGCTGACCTTGATTGATTTTGAAAGCTCTGAACTTTTATTGGTTTTCCCATAGCCGAGTGTGATCAAGAAAATGCAGGAAGGAGGCTCTGCTGACTCTATGGTTACCTCTCGTCAAGTCATTTTCCAGAAAACTGTCCCAGCGACCCTAGAGGTTATTTTTTTCAATTCATTTCATTTAACCCAGCACCAGCATGTAATCAAGATGTAGTCATTTTCCTTAAGGCACATGCTATTTCTAGATTCAAGTTTTCAGACTACCGTAAATATGAATGTAGAAAACATCCTAGATTAAAATGTAAACCAAAGCACTCACCCGCTCCTGGTTCCCTTCTGTAAGCTATGAGGCTAGTCAACTGCCCAGTGACATCTGAATACAGACTTTCATTTCTTCTGCCGTACTGGGATTCACATTGAGGAAAGTGGGGAAGAAGCTACTGAGACAGTGAACTTCAGTTGTAAATAAATTTGCACACTGCACACGTGGCTGTGATCTGTTTATACAAGTCTCCAACAGTGTCCCTCAATGGGAGCTATTTCATGGAAGTGCCTAGAACTCAGGCACACACGATATTTATCAGGTAATTGCTCTAGTGGAGTCAGATACCAACAAAAGGAAGTACAGCTCACAAACACAGAAAATTATAAGTACAAAAATGTGAATAACGTTGGCAAGTTCTTGTGAGAATGAGGGTTTTCAAAAAGTTCCTGGAAGATGCGTAAAGTGAAAAAAACTGCATGGATTTCAAAGCTTTTTGCACCAAAATACACTTTTTCTAAATGCATTTTCCTACAGACTTTTTGAAGTATCCTTGTACTTGAAGTATACAGTATATTTAACACAGAGAATTGTTCTTTTGTGTTCACATACAGAAACTAACTTGTAATAATGACTTCAGTAATGTTTTGTAATCTTGAAATATAAAATGACCATAGTTAATCACAAGATCAAATATATTTCTTGCAATATTGACCACCAAAGCATGTTCATGTCGAGAAATCTGAAAGTGTAATTCTGCCTAAAGAGTATATTCCAGGTTGAAGGTTATAGTTAGTAAATTTCCAATGAGAAGAGAATGCAGCTGTTAATTATTACACTGCCCGTCCTGTGCAGCCCCACCTCAGGCCTGCCTGTAGCTCTTGCCCTGATTTTCTTAAAAGGTTCTTATTTTAGAAATGAGATAACCATCAGAATTTCTAATTTAGCTTTTATATTTCAAATATAGGGCACAGAGGATTGGGTTATTGTAGACAAAATACCCACTGAGGTAGTTGATGGTGATTTGAAAAAGATTGTCACTTACAAGGTGGTGACGGTGAGCAGTAGAACTGGTGACCTCCCAGCCGACATGTTAAAATCTGGCTCCCTTGACATGCACGGCCTCCATGACTTGGCCCGAGAAGTGCACTTGAAAGAAGAAAGCAAGCAGAAGATATACACGCTAGGAAAGTCCTATGACACCGTCTCCGGAAGAGTTGTGACCATGACTGGGAAAGCCAAGGAGGGGGAAAAAGCAGAGCCGCCCTCCACACTGGAAACACCTCTGAAAACGGAGAGGGGCCCCGGCCTGGCGGAATATGAGGGCCTGGAAGCCCTTGCCGGTGAGAAACCCAAGCGAGGACCCGAGGTCCAGACGACAAAGCGGAAGTTGTCAGAATCTCTGGCACCCATCAAGGAGGCCGAGTCTCGTCGGCAGAGCCCTGAGGATGAAGACACCAGGAAGGCTGCAGAGCTGAGGCTGGAAGCAGCTGGCCACCCTGGGCTGGACAGCCTGCGCCTTGGCAAAACGGAGCAGGTGCAAGAGAGTGAGGTCTTGAAGGTGGGCCTCTTCGGTCCCCGACGGAAGAGCCTGTCCGAGTGGAGATACTCCCAGGAGCCAGCCTTGACCGTGGCTGCTGCTCATTACCATACCGAGTCGTCCACGTCCCGCGTGGTGGTAACCAGTGGCTCTCATTCCGCCGCAGCTTTAGATTCCAGCATGACCTGTTCTGAGGCAGTGCCCCTTCCGCCCCACACCTTCCCGTTTCTCTTGCTGCTTGGCTTTGTGTTGAGAGCAGCCAACCCAGCTTTTTGAGTTTTTTTCATGGTTCAGTCGATACCGCAGTCCCAAGAGGGCATTAAAATGTTTATTTCCAGCTACCCGTTCCCAAGATGTGATCGTGCTGCTGTGCCTGGCAATGAAGGAAAAACATGACCCGCTTTACTGGGTGCCGCCCTTCTCCTAATAACTCTCTCTCTCTGCTTTACCAACCAAGAGCTCAGGGTCACCCTGGTTGGCTATTTTATTTCCCATTCTTTTCCGTTTCCGAACTCCGTCTCTTAGTTTCCTTCCTTCCTCCTCCCCTTCTCCTGCGCCTCCAGCTGTGTGTAACAAGCCGTGAATGTGTCTCTGCTGAGGACCTGTGTCTCTGGTGCTTGACTCTGCCTTTCTCTGTCCACTCAGACCAAGCAGGCTTCCGGCGAAAAGCTCATGGACGGCTCTGAGATCTTCAGTTTGTTAGAGTCTGCCCGAAAGCCAACAGAGTTCATAGGAGGGGTTGCCTCCACTGCTCAGAGCTGGGTTCAGGTGCCCACTGGCTTCCCTCCTGCGTGTTTGTGCCTGTGCCTTGCTTTATGTGTGTGTGTTCGTGTTTTGCATTCAAGTGGCTTTGCCTTCGAGACCTCACAGGTGCCTTCAGGGATTGTCCTTTGTGCCTGCTTGGTGTTTCTGTCCATCCACAGTTAGTTCCGCTCCAAGGATGTACTTGGGGAGCCAGCATAGAGACCGGTGGCGAAGACACCATATCCCGTGGGGGAGTACCTGGCTTTGATTCGCAGTGCCAGCTCCAGCGGCTCACTCCAGCTTCTTGCGAATGGAGACCCTGGGAGGCAGCAGTTAATGGCTCAAGTAATTGAGTTCCTGCCACCCACTTGGGAGATCCAGGTTGTGTTCCCAGCTCCCACGCTTAGCCCCAGCCACTGTGGGCATTTGGGAATACAGGTGGCCTCTCTCTCTCTCTCTCTCTCTCTCTCTCTCTCTGCCTTTCAAATAAATGAATTATTTGGTTTAAAATAGCATACTTTAGATGGTCAAAAGACAGCCATGTTGAGAAATTCTAATAACATTTCATGTTTACAAGCATTTTATCTCATCTAGTGGGTCTAAGCAAGCAGCAAAACCAATGTGAATGCACCACAAAGCTTTGGTTTTGTGTTTCTGTTGTTTTATTTTTAAACCAGTGTTCGTACTGCATTGTTTCTTTCGCTGAGCAGGTAGCAGCACTGGTTGGCCTGCATGTGTCAGGGGTGGGGGCAGGCAACAGAGATTCTGATGGGAGGAATGAAAGCTAATTTATATCTTGCAGCAGTGTTTCTGGTTATAAACACTCCCTGCTGGCTGCATGCACCGTGCTGAGTGCTTTTTGACGTCTGGTTTATGGAGAGTCCCACTGACATCACCGTCTTTCCCCAGCAGAAAATGGATGCCAAGCCAGAGCCCAGCGAAGCAGAGGCAGAGAGCACCCCTCTGCAGCAGCCTCTGGGTGCAGAGAAGGTGGCGCAGGAGACGGTGCTGGTGGAGGAGAGGCGGGTGATGATCGTGCATGCCAGCGGCGACGCCTCTTCCGCAGCCGGCGACGAAGTGGAGGCCGCCGCCCCGCCCGCCCCGACTGCAGATGCGCCCGGCACTAAGGCCAAGGAGGGCTCGGGGGTGTCCGAGGGGGCCAAGGAGGAGAGCCGGGAGGACGCCGAGAAAGCCGCGCCCCAGCAGGAGGAGGCAGCAGCTGCACCCCTGGAGCGAGAGGAGGAGCAGAGCGCGGCCATCCACGTGTCTGAAACTTTGGAACAAAAACCTCATTTTGAGGTAGCGAGTGGTTACCCCGTCATGGTTTCCAGCTTTTGGCTCACCTGTAAACGTAGTTAGTGATAATTGGTAACAGAGCTCCAGGAAATGCTTGCCATTTTCATTGAAAATGTTTTTATTAGCAGTAAACCTGGAAGATACATGGTATTGGCCTCCATATTAAAAAATCTGATCCATTTTTTTATTATTAGTGCACCAAGTGCCAGATCTTTAATGTCTGTCCTCTTACTAAGCTACCCACAGTATCTGGGAGAAACACTAGTGGCTCATTACTTGGTCTTTATAAGGAATTATTAAATAAAACACTTATTTATTGACACTACTCTGTTAAACTTCTGAGATAGAGGAGGGAGAATATTAATAACTTTGCTCTTACAAACACTTTTTTTATTGGGAACATTTTTCCAGATTAAAAACTAGAGAATCTAGAAACCTTTTTGAACTGTATGTGTTGTGTGCCTTACCCCGACTCCTTACCCTCACATAATAATGTAAATGTGTACGTCCTATTAACCCATGCTTGCACAAAGCACCAAAGAAGAGAGAAACCCCCACAGCGTGTGCAAACACTAACAGCCATTCTGCTCACTTCCCACTGGCACAGTCGTCCACTGTGAAGACGGAGACCGTCAGCTTTGGCAGCATATCCCCAGGAGGAGTGAAGCTGGACATGTCTACTAAGGAAGTGCCAGTGGTTCACACGGAAACAAAAACCATCACCTACGAGTCTTCCCAGGTGAGACAGGCGTGCAGCCCCGCCCTGGCACGTGGCTTTCACTCCCTTCTGCAGCTTAGTGCATGCGTGGGACTGTCACTGCGTGACATTTCATTCCTGAGGCTTCGAGGACCCAGCTGCCAGTCCATCTCTGTCAAGAGCCAGGCAGTGATTGAAATGTTATTACTGATGGTGGAGCAGCAGGTGACTTAGCAAGGTATTCAATGTCTCAAAATGTAGCAAAAGGCTCAGAAACCTACTTCTGTGGCCATGGATAAGGAAAAAATATTCACCCCACCACGCACTGCTCAGATTTCTAAGTCCTGGTTTTTAATGAGAGTTAATTCTGACTATGCTAAGTTGGTACTCTGAGGAGTATCTCCCAGACTGGTTGAACAGTGCAGTTACTGTGCAAGATAACCACATTACTTGTTCGGTTTGGGGGAGGGATTTCTGTACTTAACTATTTATTATTATCTTCTTAATTATTCTTAATTATTCATGTATACAGGGTACAGTATGATAATTTGGGTACAGTTTAATAAGTGTATATGATGTACACTTCTCCACTCAGGATAATTAACGTTTTTATCTCTTTCTGTTTAGAATCATCGAGCTTACATTTGTTTATAAAATGTATAGCAGGTTGTTGGGAACCGATATGCCGTGGATCTGTGTAATTTATCCCTGTGACCCAGCTGTGTTTGGGTACCTTTTATCCAGCCTTCCTCTATTCCTCTGCTCCCCACCCTTCATAGCCGCTTTAAATGCATTCTAGGCCGGCGCCACGGCTCACTAGGCTAATCCTCCGCCTGCGACGCCGGCACACGGGTTTCTAGTCCTGGTTGGGGCGCTGGATTCTGTCCTGGTTGCCCCTCTTCCAGGCCAGCTCTCTGCTGTGGCCCGGGAGTGCAGTGGAGGATGGCCCAAGTGCCTGGGCCCTGCACCCCATGGGAGACCAGGATAAGTACCTGGCTCCTGCCTTCGGATCAGCACAGTGCACCAGCCACGGTGGCCATTGGAGGGTGAACCAACGGCAAAGGAAGACCTTTCTTTCTGTCTCTCTCTCTCACTGTCCACTCTGCCTGTCAAAAAAAAAAATGCATTCTAAGGCTTTAAGTTACAAAGCAAACTTGGGAAGACTAATCCCCCAGCTGTGGTGTGTCTCTTCCTGTGCTTGGTTAGGTCGACCCTGGTGCTGACCTGGAGCCGGGCGTGCTGATGAGCGCACAGACGATCACATCCGAAACCACCAGTACCACCACCACCACGCACATCACCAAAGTACGAACCACAGGAGCCGGGAGGGATCGCTTGAGAGCAGGCTAGGGAGAGGGGCTCGGCCAGAGCTTCCGGCAGGTTGGGCTGCAGAAGCCGAGAGTGCCGTCAGGATGCAAGAGGCGCTAGTCCCCTTGTGCCGGTTTCTGCTTGGGAAAACAGGCATGCTGGGGGTTCAGCAGATCCGAAATGCTCAGGAAAACAAGTTGCATCTGTGTCCATTGTTTGCTTACTATTTTTACCAATAATTGTGTATATAGATTAAGTACTGAGTGTTTTAGTCAGGGCTGAAGGTTATACAGGAGGATGTGTGTAGATTATATGCAGATTCTGTGCCATTGTATTCAAGGGACTTGAGTGTGCATCCTCAGACTTGGTATCCAGGGAAGTCCTGGTACTAATCCCCTGAGGCTGGGGGGGCCTTGGGTGTACTCCGGTAGCCTGCGCTCAACTCTCATGCCCACCCGTGGCATGTGGTAGGTGTTCCAGAGCACTGACCCTCGGAACCCAAAGTGCTCCCCTCTGTCCTCACGTGGGAATCATCACATGTTCAAGGACCACCGTAGAATTCTGCTTCAGTTCCTGAAGAATGAATGGCGTCACTCAGAGCCCCACAGGGTGTTCTACCCCTGCCCTGTTTGCACAGCGGTTGCGGCTGTGCGTACACGGCCTCAGGCCCCTCTTTCTTTGTTTCAGACTGTGAAAGGAGGCATCTCAGAGACGAGAATTGAGAAGCGGATTGTCATCACAGGGGACGCAGACATCGACCACGACCAGGTAGAGTGTGAGAGAGGGTAAACCACCCCGGGCACAGAAACACAGAAGCTCGTTGGCCCTGCCACTCCCGATGCTGTTCTGGCGCAGCACATATTTTGAGCAAACTCCTGACTTAACTGTCCAGTATATGACTCAGATTTCCTTTCGTAATCATTGTATCTCATTTGTAAATTGTGGATTAGATTTAGCCCATAAGTCTCCACCTTGCTACTGATCATGCATGTCCCACCTCCTTTTTGTTTTTGCCCTTCTGTGATTTCCCGGGGATAGGCGCTGGCTCAGGCAATTAAAGAGGCCAAAGAGCAGCACCCTGACATGTCAGTGACCAAAGTAGTGGTCCATAAAGAGACAGAGATCACACCTGAAGATGGAGAGGATTGACCGGAGGTAAGAGGTGGCACCCGCTCTCCAAGCTGGCATGTGGCATGGGGCGCTTCCCTCTCACCCTTCCCTGCTACCTCCTCTCCTTTGCTCTCTCACTGGCATTCTTAGCACGGGTCACCAGACTGGAGAGTCGGTTTGCAGCTGCCGGCTTCCCCCGTGTGTGGAGGGCCCGTCCTTGGGGCTGTCACGCCTCTACTGCCAGTTAGAGGAGGAAGGGAAAGCAGAGGCTTGGCTTGAGTCTTGTTGCTGCTGTTCGCTGTCATCCAGTCTCTACACTGTTTCCGGGATCCAAATTTGAAATGTCAAATTGGATTTCCCTTGCTGTGCAGCCTAATCAGAGCTAAAGCAGTTTTGTTGTGAGAGGTGCAGTTTGTGTGTTCCAACTCCCAAGAAGACCCAGTGTACCCCTTTTCCCTTGTGATGACTTATTGTAACCCCCATTGAAAGCTTCAACTGTGTTGGGTGATACAGTCTGTTTATGCCTTGTCTGGGGTGGGGGTTTGTTTTTCATTGGTTTCATTTTGTTGATAGTCGGGATCTTGAGCACTCGCTCTCTGCTTTGGGTGTCTTGTTTTCCCTGGATTCTTTGGGATGATTCCCCCGCCACCCCTCCCCAATGTAGCTTTGTGTCTCCAGAAGAGGCAACAGTGCCGTCAACAGTCCTGCACTCCCCCAGAAAGTGCATGCCATTCCAGTTGCTTCTAGGCCAGCAGCATGAGCAGCCCACATCCTCTGTGTGCACAGACTTGTCCTGTGTCCTCACCTGCTGTGCACGAACTCATGGGGCTGTCAACATCCCTTAAAGGGCTTCAGGCGCTGAATGCAAAAGCCAAGCTACTTGCACACTTGGCTCTGTGATAAAATGTCGAAGAGACTTCAGTCCACAAGTTTTCTAACTTTGGTTTAAGACGCATAGATGGATGAATAGCATCTCTTAAAACAGAAATTAAAAATCATTCAATATGTATTCAAATTATTAGCATGCGGGTACTTCAGAAAGTGCATGGAAATTGCAAGGTAAGTTTATTTTGGTGTAAAAAATCCACACATAGATTTCTTCGTGGTGCATATTTTCCATGACCTTTTTCAAGACCCCGCTCATATGCATGGGTTCAAAAAAATTTTTGCACTGAAGTAACCTATCTTTAATTCCATTTTCCAAGAAACTTTTTGAAGTACCCTTATATATTCGGAAGATAGGAAACCAAAAAAGGGTTTTCTTCAGTGGGCTTCAGCCACATGGGTGCTCTAATTATTTAAGAGAAAGCTTATCATCGAACATGGCTTAATGTTTGAGTAACCCCAAGATCCTTTTATTTTTGTGACCTTGATCTGAGAAATACCCATGAGTGTTTTCAAGTGAGTAACTAATCACATCTCTTCTCTGCAGGAATAACTTAGCTCGCAAGTGAATCCAGTCAACATAAACCATTAGGAAAACCAGAGCCTCTATGGAGTTGTCTCTTCTAACCCAACTGACTCGCATCTGTCCGTGGAAAATTTCAATCCAGAAGAACTGACCTTGACCATTGACAAAGACACTGGCAGAGAGATCTTCCCATAATAAAGCAATCTGAATCAGCATCACTAAACTGATATTGCATGAAGCAACGATAAGATTACAAAAGAGCAGCATTTTTAATTTTCACAAAATGTCTCAGTTTTCTGCTATACCTGCACGTTCATAACCGACAGTATAAACCGTGATCTCATGTAACACATAAACAGTTCATGCCTTTCATAGTTTATTATTCAAGTCTCCACAAAATTACAGTTTCTTAGGTGACAGAATTTTGTTTACAAATCCATGAAGATTCCTCTAAAATGCTAGAAGCTGTCTAGGTCCGGTGTTTCCAATGTACCCCAGATTAGATGTGCCAATGACCGACTTTATTCAGTAAACAACTTGAATCTTGTCCTGTTTCTTCTGGTTTATTCCTCTCACCCATAAACATTAATGACTCTCTGACCCTCTGGAAATATTTAATGCTTATACTCTTGCTTTGTGTATCTAATTTAATTCATCATAAGGTAGTACTGATTTTAGCATATTAATGTGGTTTCTTCCTTGTCGTCTGCTTTGATCCAATCAATCTGAAAAGCTTTCCAGAGTTTCCTAACAAGTTCTAAATATGTAAATTGTCAGTACTTTGGGAAGCAAAACCTGTATTTTTGTTAGTTTACATTATGGTGAAATTTCATTCCAGGAGAACATAGGCTCCTGTTGCTTTGGTTGTTTTTTTTTTTTTCTTTTGTCCTTGTATTTTTAAATTAATTTTTCTTCTTTGACTTGAAAAAAAGTCCTTTATTTCCAAATCCGGTCCCTATTTACAATCTAGTTCAGAGCCAAGCCTTAAACTGTACAGAATTTCACTGTAATTAAGACTATTTAGTGTTTAGTTATAAATAGCCTTCAGAAAGATATATTCCACATTACACTGTCAGCCGCATCCCAGCCCATGGTGAATGTATGTTTCTGCATAGCAAAATAAAAAATGGTAAATGCATTGAAAGCTGTGGTTGTCTATGCGTAATGATTTCAATATTGTTTGTTTTCAGCCCAGAGGTAGTATTTGCATGACTTCAAAGAGTTGATTCATCTGTGTTAGGGGAATATCTTATCCTTGCAGTGTTTCAAAACGGGGCATACAGTATGTAATGCATGAGTCCTTTCAGGGATGGGACCTGGGAACAAAATGTGTTCATAGGACTGCTTGGTTGCCTATAAAAGCTTTAAAAAATACATCAAAGAATTTCATTTTCAAAGTTTTAATATTGGAAGAGGCTGTGTGCTTTTGAGTGCTTTGAGTCTGCTGAAGAGCCGCCTGTCTCTCCTGCATTGGCTCCAGAGTCCACATCCTGCAGCTCATTCATGGGAAACTCCTCTCATGTCAAGGATCAAAACTAAGACTTCTTACCCATTGTACCTGCACTTGCTGGCATTTCCTCCCATGTCAGGTCATTGGCAGAACTCATTTCCTGGTGGTTGTGCAGTCCCTGGGAGGTTGCTTCTTCAAAGCCAGCTACAAGGGAGAAACTCGACAGTGTGTGTGCTAACAAGATGGCATCTCATGTGATGTCCCAGTCAGGGAGTGGCTTCCCATCTCCTTGGCCATGTTCTAACTGATTAGGCACAAGTCATGGCTCATGCCCACAGTGTCAGCAAATTAAAATTTTAGGTTGATTAGAGTGCCTGAGTTAATCCTGACTCCAGTTTCCTACCATGGCAGACCCTGGAAGCAGCAGTGATGGCTCAGCTGTGATGGTTGGATTTTGGCTACTCACATAGAAGACTTGGATTGGTTTCCTTGATCCCAGCTCCAGCCCCAACCCTTGTGGACCTTTAGGGAGTGAACCAGTGGATAAGAATGATATCTATCTATCTCTGCTTTCAAATAATTTAAGTTTATTGGATAAAAGTATTAAAGTTTAGATTTAGAAACCAGTCAGTTACTGATTTTTTAATCCAAAATTTTTTATGCTGGATTTCACTCACATATGAAACTTGGTTTATCCTTGTTAAACTCTTAGGTCATCCCTGTGTCTTATGTAGCTAATGCTACTAATAGTTTAAGAATGACCCCAGATTTCACACTTTTGGAAATAAGCCTTCTGCCTCAGATAACTATTTGCCTAATAGCAAAGAAAAGCTTGCTTCTCAATTTCTCTTAAGAAAAAAGAAACAAATGGTTTCCTCCAATCAGCAGAAAAGCAAATTGCAAGGCTAAATGCATTAGCATCCATCCTGTTGATGACATGCAGCCTGTACAAACATTAGTTACAGTGTCCCCAAACCTGACACTAACACGTTTTCTCTGGACTCAGAGCCAACAGCACTCCTTCAGGTGCAATGCTCCCTGCTTTCCATCCGGTGCAGCTGGAATGGCGCTCACCAGGGAGTGAAGCCTCAGCTCAGGTGCCCAGGTTCTGCTCCTTCTTCTCCCTTCCTTAGTGTGGAATTGAAGGGAGAACTGCAGTATGGCTAACATATCCACTGCTGCAGGGGGAGAAATGAGGGCAGCACTGGCCGTGGGGGAATTTCATGCTGGTTCTCTCCCAGAAGAGTTTCTCATTCCCTTATAGTCTGCATTCCTTCCAGATTTCAGAGCTGCTGTGTGCTGGCTGGCTGGGTAGTGAGTGAGATCACTCACCTTGTGGGAAGGCTCAACCTATTTTTTGGCAGTACTGTAATCCGCTTCATGTGTCACCACCTTCCTAGCACATCTAATGCTCTGTTACCTAAGTCTACATCATCCCTAGCTATTTTTGAAAAATCAACAAGAATCGACAACTTGAATAGAAATTGATTATACGTTATGCGTTATGCATACCTTCCATTCAGAGTTTTTTTTTTTTCTTTTGTACCACTTTAAATGAATCAGTATAAGAAATTCTGCCTTGGATTGCCATAGAGGTGACTTTGGACTTTGAATTTTAATTGACATTCATTTATCATGAAGTAAAGTTGGATTCTATTAAAAAAAAATAAACTTTTTGTGTCAGGCCATTGTTGCATGCAAAATTATGTTCTAAATGATGACATTTTTGTTTTGACAGATAGTTCCCAGAGCTGTTTTACTCTGAGGAAGGGTGGCAGAAGGAGCTCACACATGTGGTTATTAATACACGTGCCCACCCACATGTGTGCGTGCTGCTCCTGAAGGGCGGGGTGGGGGGGTGGGGGGCAGCAGAAGGACCAGCGCCAGGCAGGCAGCTCTGACCTGGCTCCCCTTAGCAGTCACCGCTGCTGCCTGCCCCAGAACACTTCCAGCTGTGTTCAGTGCCCCAGAATGGAAAGGTCGGTAAAGACTACTAACTTGATGATAACGTGGTGAAATTGAACAGACCAACCAAGAAAGAGCTATGAGTAAAAACAGCTTACCCATATGGATGTTCTCTTCATCCTGTTGAGACAGAAACGTGGGAGGATTTCACACCACTCTCTCTCATCGTCATTTCACCAAACCGGCAGTCTTGTGCCTTCCCTGTTTCTTAAATCTAACCATGATGCCTGACAATTAGTGTTCCCACGTGGCCACCCCACATCAACCCCAGACCCTTACACTGTGGCTTTCAATCTTTTAAGAACTACAAATCTAATCCTGCCACTCTTGCGCTTAAAAATGTGTTTCTGAATTTCCGTTGCTCTTCGTGTAGAGGACTCAGTTCTTCAAACATGAGCTGAAGCCTTGCGTGGGCTGGCTCCCCATGATGCCCTCCCCTGCTACAGTGTCGCTCAAGTGCACCAACTCTCTCCAGCCCTGCTTCACTCAGCCGCCAGTGTTGCTTCAGCTCTGAGTCCAAATATTCCTTTCCTGACTACTGGTCAGCTTTCCCTGTTGTATGCTCCTAGAACCTTTGCAAATAAAACATGTCCTGGCTATAATTTTTACTTATCTGCCCAGTCTTTTAATGAATCTCTTCTGCATGTCATGGCTGTGTTTGATGACCTGCCCCAAGCACAATGCCTGGCTTACAGACTTGTGCTCAATATTTGCATACATGAGTGAACATATTGATAAGGGTTTCTTTGTATGATAAATTTGTATCCTTTTGATGTTATCTGTGTATTCTCTGAAGCCCAGCAAGTGTTGGGTGGTGGATCCCCATGGAAAGTTCCCATTGGCCCCATAACTATTATCAGTGAGTAATGCGTTCTCTGGGAGGTGCCTTTTCAGCAAGCAATGGATTCTTCGCAAAGAGATGTCATTAGAAGGGACAGGCAGGTTCAGCTCCGCTGTTGGAGAGGGCATTGCTGCCTTCTGCTGAAGTCAGCTGAGGTCAGTCTAGATCTGGTTGTCACGCTCATGTGCACTTGGAAGTGGTCTCAAGAGCTACAGGTGCCCATGAAAAAGCCAAATTGTAAACTCACTGCAACTTTTGTGGACAGTGAGAGTCATAACCACTTCATAACATCAAGGTCATCAACTCTTCAACCCCAGCATAGTGTAGGTGAGAGAGTAGTTCAGGCTTCAAACCTTGGCATTACTTTTGACTCCCTTATTTCCTTAGCACTGTGAAAGATCTTCATATCGGACATAGTCCATGTCTCACCTGGACTATGGTATTAGCTACTAATTGGTCTCCAGGTTCTAGTCTTTCACCACCACCACTGCTCCAACTTCCTCAGTCCTATATGCTGCTCACTTTCCTAATCAATCTTAAAAGCATCATCATTAGACAACCAAAGAGCTGTCAGTGGGTGCTCCTCAGACATTCCCTAAAGCTCAATTCTAAACTCCCAAACTGGAGTTGAAACTATATACATGATGTCATGTTGTCTCCCAATTTCATTTGAATGGCAGAGTTATACACAGAGTGAGAAGTTGGGGGAGAGGGAGAGGGAGAGATCTATCTGCTGGTTCACTCCCAAAGGGCTGCAATGGCAGGGGATAGGCCAGGCTAAAGCCAAGAGCCTGGAACTCCATCTGGGTCTCCCACGTGGGTGGCAGAGGCCCAAGCACTAGGACCGTCTTCCACTGTTTCCCAGGTGCATTAGCTGAGAGATGGATCAGAAGTGGAGCAGCCAGAACTGGAACTAGGATTCATGTGAGATGCCGGTGATGCAGGCTGCAGCCCACTGTAGCCCGCTGTGCTACAGTGCTATTCCCCCAACTTTCTATTTTTCTCTCACTTTCTACAATACCAACTTTGAACTTTCAGCAGCATGACAGTTCATAGCGGCTTTATTTACAAAGCCACAGGGCGGAAGCTTCTCAAGTCTGCATGAGCAGAGTAGAGCACTGTGATATATGGTGAAATATTTTTCAACCATAGAGATGAATAAAGTCTTAAACAATAGATTGAATGACTCTTGAAAACATAATGCTTAATGATATAATCCAGATACAACAAGACAGATACAATATTTTTCCAATGATATTAAGTGCCTATAGCACTCAAATTCATAGACAGGAAGTAGAATGATGGCAGGCTGAGGCTGGGGCATGAGGGGAGGGCAGGGTTAATGCAGATTCTCAGTTTGAGTTGATGAAACAGATCTGGAAATAGATGTTATTTGGTACATAACCATGCAAATGTACTTAGTTGCACAAAAGTGTACACTTAAAAGTTATTAAAATGACAAACTTCTTGTTATGTTGAAATTTCCCACAATAAAAAACTATATTAGACTGCCTGTGCCTCTACGGTCTTTCCCAAGAAATCTTTGCCTGTGCCTATATCTTGCAGGGTTTCTCCAATATTCTCTAATAATTTGATGGTTTTGGGGTGTAGATTTAGATCCTTAATCCATGTTGAGTGGATTTTTATGTAAGGTGTAAGGTAGGGGTCTTGCTTCATACTTCTGTATGTGGAAATCCAGTTTTCCCAGCACTATTTGTTGAATACACTGCCCTTGCTCCAAGAATTGGTTTTAGATCCTTGATCAAATATAAGTTGGCTGTAAATGCATGGGTTGATTTCTGGTGTTTCTATTCTGTTCCATTTGTCTATCCATTTGTTTCTGTACCAGTACCATGCTGTTTTGATTATAACAGACCTGTAGTATGTC